TCAAGTTTTGTCCCCAGGATGATTTCCTCAGCTGCCTTCCTGCCTCTCCAAGAAGCAGCAGTACCCAGCATAGATTCAAGCAGGAAAAGGAAGGTTTAAGAAGCCACGTAATGCTCTGTGCATGGTCTGTGCAAAGATGACTGTCTGGATGGATACAGGAATACATTGTTTTATTTCTAAAACAATGTCAGTAAGTTTTCACACTGAAGATGAATCACTAGGAGCAACTGATAAGCATAGTAAAACTGGAGGTTGTTAGTCTGCTGATGAGCAGGAGCCAAAGGCTAAAAACTTTCTCAATGCTGTGAAGCACTTTGTCCAGCAGGCCTAGCTTGAGCTCTGCCTGAAGACATTGTTTTCTTTCAAATTCTATGCATGCTTCTGTTTCTTCTGTTCCATTTCACATTTATTGGGTGTCTCAAGTCACAAAGCCACCATGAAGAATGTTTTGAAACAGCCTCCTCATGGAGGCTCTGAAAAAACACCCAGGTAACACCCTCATAAAGAGGGAGAGAGTGAGCAAGAGGAAGAGCTCTGAGAGAGAGCTCACCATGGTCTTGGAGGCAGGGAACAACTGCAGGATGCTGAGTTGCACAGTAGGATGTAGGTGTCTGAAACTTAGGCACAGTGGGTCTGGTTCTGGGGCAAAGGAAGAATGCCTATCCCCTTCTAAATGGGCTGTAGGAGTCTGCAAAGGGCACCTGAGGAGCCCATGCTCTGCAGGCAAAGGTATCACACCCAGGGGAGTGCCCACATTCCCCTGAGAACACAGGGGGATGTCTCTGGGGGACATCGCTGGACACCAAGGGCAGCAGTTCTGCTGTGACGTCCTGCTGTGCCCAAGACAAAGAATTCACCCCTAAAGCATTTTGTTTTCATGGTGAGTGACTCTCAGGGCTCCAGCTGATCTGCTGCTTCCTTGGCTGAGCAAAGCACACCGTTTTGCCAGGGTCATACCTGGAACCCCTTGTGCAGGAGATGCTGAGCCATGTGAGAGCGTCTTAATAGAGAGGGAACCCACATCCCGTCCCTGTTTCTACCCAAGGGAGACCTCAACTTCACTTCTATTAAGAAATATGAGAAAATGTCTCAAAGTGTAGAAAAAAGTGACATGCCAGATTTAACTCTTCTGCTTGATCTTTTTTTTTGACAACCTCAGCTCTCATCCTCAGGAACATCAACCTCATGGACCATCCAGAGCTCTTTTTGGCACTCTGGGGACTGCTGGACATACATCACTTCCATCTCAGCATCTCCTTTGCTAGTGCCAAAACAAGAGGTAAAATATTCTTCTTGCTCTTAGATTTATTCAACATCTGCACATACAGACATCTAGCTCAACTCTTTCAGTTATCCACACAGCTATAAAGCAAATTACAAAGTCTTTGGTTTGGACCTAGGATTACTAGACATGGAAATTTGCCTAAGATTACTAGAATTGACTCATCCCTAACTGGAGTATGTCAGAACAAAAATTCTTTGAGGAAAGAGAGATATTTGTGACTGATCCAATAGGAATTTTCCATCAGCAGTATTCCTCTTCTAGTGTGAGCGCTGAGAACATATTTCAAATGCATTCTTGACACAAAGACCATCCTAAAGTTCTGGGGACAGCCTTTTTATCAACCAGGATGCAGGGAAATTTCTGAGATGGACTTACTGTTTTGCTCTTGGTATCAGAGAGACAGGTAGCAGTGCCTTTATTCCCTCAATTCATGAAATGAAGATACAGAGATGTGAAGTACAAGCCCACAAAAAACAGTAACCAGTATTGCTTTGGAATCACAGATCTGATAATTTTTTTTTTTTCCAAAGAAAGCTCCCTGAAACACAATTTAATCTCAGTTTTAATAACTTAGAAGTATTGTGTTATTACCCTTGCTTTCTTATAAAAGCCCTGAAACATGAAATGAGACTATAGTAGATTAGGGATTCTTTTTATAAGAAGAATATCTATTCTCGTTCTCTGAATAATGTCTAGGAAGTTATTTTTTAAATGGCCTTGTGAATCTTTCAACTTTTTTACATTGTATTAATGTGAGAAGACTTATTTCTGGAATTCAAAAAGGCAGGAAAAATCCCTCATTTTCTTATAAAAGCAGATATTTCCTCAACCATTACTAGTAACTAAGTGCTAATAGAAATATGTGAGTATATATAGACACATAGATAATATATATTTTAAAACAAAAATTATTTGAAATATACAGCCAAGATTGTTGGTACTGTCCACAATGCATAAAAATTTAAAGAGACAATGATGCTGACATTCCTGTATCAGCAGTTTTAGAAAGGGCACAGTGGCATTTTGTGAAGAAATGTCCTCACATGTGCATGATGCTAAAAGATGCAGAGCACAGGAAGGAAAGAGTTAAATGCACAGCATCTGTGTTTGAATCATTACTTTAATCCTGAATGTTGTAATAATGAGGAAAAAGCAAAATAATCAGACAATTATTACTATAAAATCTTTGCTGATATAAATGACCACTTAGTAAAGTATTACTGCACGACTTACAGAAATTTTTGCCCTATCAAGTGAACAAAGAATCAAAAGTTTCCAGCCTTTGCTCTAATAAAAATTCTAAACTTATGTCTGGGCACAACTCTCACAATGGGTTAAAAGCCTGGGCCTCTTACATGTTCTATCCCTGAGATCTGTCTAGACAAACCAACCACTTCCTTTTGTCAAGGATGTCATACCACAACAAGAAAATCCACAAGGTCTTGGTCACCTCCTCCTATGTAAAATCCTACAGCAGAAGAGGGGCTGGGGTAGAGGAAAGAGTGCCTGAAATTTTCCCCGCCATGCGTTGAATACCAGTGCTGGAGCTTGCTGCTGGAAACCCAGCTATGGACCCTACACTGTGCATGGCAACTGGGCCATCCCATCACTACAGCTCTCTATCAGCCACGGTCCTTTCAAGATGTTGTGTCCAAAAAAATCCCATGATTGAACATTAAAACAACATTTTGTATAGCGTAGGCCCCAGAGAAATATTAATAAAGCTACAGGTTTTGTAATGTTTATATCCACAAAAGGCAAAAATTGGGTTTATGTGTCCCTTCATCTTTCTCACTTTCTAGCTTCTCTTTCCCTTATATTCTATTTACTATCTGTTCCTTTAGGTGAAGAGATGGAGCCTCACTGTCTCTTTTTCTACACCCTGTTAAGAAAAAGGCTTTTTTTAGTATATGAGATTAATATCCATTGCTTGGCGTCCTGCTATTACCCTCTACTACCTATATCACTATATAAATGAGGACCAGCACAGGAGCTGCAGAGGTAGATAAATCATAAAAAGTGCCAAGTATATAATGTAGCAAGGGTTGAGTGTGATAGTGACTAAGAAATTTCACCCTTTACAGGAGTACAACCTCATTGAAAGCCAAGGAGGCAGCAAGAACTGATGAACCTCTAAGCAGAAAATAGGATGCTTTCAAGAAAGGGGTCAGAGAAAAAAAGTAACTTCCAAGTCAGGAGATGTTAAGTGTTGGTATGCCAAGGTTCACAGATGAGCACATGGGTACTGCCGAATTCCATGCTGGAATTACTGGTTTTGAGAGAGGATGAGAGATCCCCGAACCCAAAGGTGTGTCAGAAGAAGCAGCATGAGCCCACTGTGGGCACCAGGCTGGCACTTACTCAATCAGGGCTTCTGGTGACACTGCACGGCCAGGGTCATTGGTCACTCACCAATGGGCAAACCTGGCTCCAAGGCAGACACAACCTGGGCTGCACAGACAGGGCTACAAAGGGCCCAGTGCTCAGCACCTCCACATCTGGCACTGCCTCAGAGAGGGCAAAGGAAGGGTGGTTTCCTGCCTTATTCAACACCAGACCGAGGAGTCATTCAAGCAAGGCAGAATATATAAGACCCACACATATGGAAAGGGGTTTAATGCTTTTTCAACCACTAGTACTCACTGTTGCAAAGTACTAACAGAAGCAAGAACTAAATACAATTCGAACTGGACTTGAAATTCTAGAAACCATGAGATTTTTAGTTGTATAAAACTTTAAAAACTTTGGAAATGTGGTAAATATCATGCTGGTTCTCTGAGTAGGTGAATGTAGGAGAGGGTAGAGGAGTTGGCAAAAAATATGTGGGCAGATGATTTGGTAATTATTTACATAAGTGTTCCTGTACTTCCCCTCAGAAAGTAGCTAGTCCTCTCCATAAGTGAGGTATGAAAACACACTGAACAATAAATTGTTCCAGTAGGTCCATTTTCTTGCTCTTAAGAATTCTCAAAAAATTGAACCCAACACAAATTTTCCCTCAAGTCTTCTGTTTTCCACTTTGGTTTTTAACGCCTAAAATTGTATTGAAAACTAGACTGTAAAAATGGTTTTCTGGTGGCTGTATGACCATGAGTTTTTTATACCAGGACAAAATATTTGTTTGTTCACTCATTTGTTGCTTTGTAGTTGTTTGTTTTTAAAGCCTTCTAGTTCTTTATTTTTTGTGCCCTATCTACAGCTATAAAAATTCATATTGTGAGTTTTGACTTCAGAGGTATTTATATAAATTCATTGCTCTCATGAGCATTTGAACACCTCTACAGTCTGCTTACCAGGCTGTCAGAAGCAGTCTACCTTAAACATGAAGAAGAAGTAAGTACCTCTAGTTACCCACACTGATTTTCACTTACCACTTCTTGCATTAAAGTGATTTTATTTTCCATGTCAACCTAAAAACTCTGCAATCTGATTAAATTTTAATTATATGAACAAGAACATCCATATTATGTGAGTGGAATTCAGCCTGGCTGTTACTATGTGGATGCAGTAGCCATAATCACTTTGAGATATTGTGGTTATTTGTTTCCAAATGTGTCCTTAGATTGATAATATAAAACTCTGACTGTCATTTGATATAATTTCGAACAATGCTATTTGGAGGAACCAAATGGACAGTCATCAGAGCAGAGTGGGGTCAGAAAGTTGCATTTTATCAGTTTCATAATAACTATCAGAGGACATGATTGGCACATGGTGAGAAAACAAAACACTTTTTTTTTACTGTAGATAACAATAACAATAATAACAACAATTATAGTACTAATAATACACAGATGTATATGCTATTTCACTCCACTGTTCTCAAAGCACTTCTACAAAGACAGGTGAGATGGTTTAACTCCAGTAAAAGGTAGATAGAAGGAAATGCATAACTGGCAACCAAATATCTTGTTTTCCCTGTCCAGTTAGTGTCACACTCTGTCTTTCTCTCACTGTACTTGGCTGTCTGTTGCTTTTGTTTCTCTAGTTCTACAGTATGTGTAAATAAATAAACAAAGGTAGTAGGGAAGCTAGACGAATTTGCAGTTCCTTTAACCCCAAAGTCATGGGAGGAAATGCCTTGCAGCAGAGCTATGTTAGCAATTTTACAATTGTAATGTGGACAGCACTAGTCCTAACTAGTACTAGACTAGGGTTAACTAGCTAACTAGTGCTAGACTAGTGCTGACTAGCTAACTTGCTGATAGCAAGGAGTCTGGCAGTTTAACACGTATGGAAATAGGTGCAAGCAGAGGCCATGTTTTGGATGAAATTCCTCATACACTAGCCTAAAAGGGGCATATACATGCCATGCTTCTGTTTGATCAAAGCATTCATGTCCTGAAATGTGGGCTGCAGGTTCTGGGGCAGGCAGATCCTTCTCATGCCCCAGTACAGGGGAGGGAAGCTGTTCACACTGGTGGGATACGGCATGGGTGGGACACCAGTCCTGTGGTGTCAGAACCACAGTCTACAGAAAAGATGATATTTCTGTCCTCCTCTTTCCGAGGAACCACAGACATCAGGCAGTCCTGGTACAGATTTAATATCTGGAAAAATATTCGCAGCAACATGTGTTATTATTGGTGTTACAGCAGCACCTAGAGACTCATCCTGGGACTGGGATTCCTTCTTCCTGGCAATAGGCAAAGAGGGGCTGAAAGAAGGACCCTGCAATGAAGACTTTACAGTCTAAATTGAAAAGACAGGCAACAAGTGGAGGGGAAGTAGTTGAGAAGCAGAATGAGGGGTTTGCCTCTGCCAGCAGATAGCCTGGACCACCCTTGGATTTGTTATCACCTAAGCACAAAAGGACCCACAACCTGCTGGTGATCTGGCTGCACTGACACACAATGTTTTAGCCTGAAGTTTAATATATGGCTTATCTCTGGGCTTGACTTACCAGGAAAGATATTGTTAGAACAATATGAATTGTTTAATGTCTATGCACCAAAACAAGAAGTTTCCAGTTCATTGAGGAAGTTCTGACATCGAAAAACCTGCGGCTGAGGCTATATGGAAAATAAATATTAAGATACCGGTGTTTATCCAAATCAGCTGGCCTTTTGGAATGTTGTTACAGTGAGTTGGAAATCAGACATTCTGGACTTTATCCAGGCTGCTGTAAGAATAGATCACTTTTTCTGCCCGTTGCCTGAAATAAACAAATATTACCATAATACTTAATTTTTGCCTGAATCAATAGAAAACCACAAAAATACTAATTTTCTAATAGTGCAGTGTTTTAATTAATGATAAAGACCATATTTTGTTTAATGTGTTTCTATTTTAGGATCCAAAAATCTCAGGTCTGGAAAGCTAAACACAAAATTGGAAGCATAATTAGAGACATCCATGAAAATATTTGCCTTACTTCCTTCTGGTCTTTCAATACATTCTTGAAAATTGTGTATTCCACCACTAGAAATAAAGTTTTCTGTGTGTCTACAGAAAAGAGAAAAAGAGGTCTTGGCATAGAATTTACTCCTTTTCATTAGAAAGAATATTTTCCCAGGCATGACTTTATATGAGTAAGGAACCTAGTGGAACCTAAAGCAAAGTGAATATTTCCTGTATCTTGCAGGCAATGCTTTCAGAAATCACCATCTCTAGAAAAAAATATTTTTAAATATTTAAAAAAAATATTTTACTCTTTAGTTTTAATTAATGCTGCCTTAAGGAAAGTTTTTACTCTTTAAGGCCTATGTCTGGGTAAGAATGAAGCACAGAAAAATATAAGCTTTATTAGAAATAAATGAAGCCAGGGATGCTTCTGTGTTTATTTTCCTGTGACTTCCTCAAAGTAGTGTAAAATCAGATAATTATGTAGAGCTTTCTCTGACGCTGAGGAGTGAAGGATATCCTCTGCTCTGGGAGAGGCAGTCTTCAGCACTCAGCCTCCTTGGTAAAGTCCCTTCAAATAGCTATATTAGCACGAATTCTCAAAATCTGCTTCCCAGTTTCAGATTATTTTACAAGGAGAGGGAAAAAAAAAAGACAATTTGTAACTTTTCATTTCCTAAATACAAAGTTTCCAGTCCTAAACTTGGAGCATCACCCTGAAAGCACACTAGAAAAAGGTAACTATATACTTTTACCACACAAACTGTTCCCCAGTCAAACAGCATTCCCAGGATATCCCATCAGCTATACTTAATTCTTAAATCTCGGAGAAAAGTCCTCTGCAAAGAAATAGGCTCAACTAGTCCACAAACTTTTTTTCATGGAATACTTCTCTTCTAAGCAATCTTCCTTCTGAGTAACATGAGCTGGTTTTAGTTATAAAAATAAGAAGGAACTTCCATGGCCAAAGAAAAGGTGTTAGGAAGTTTTGCAGGGTTTTTTTCCCCGTGCTACTCTTCCTCATGCTGGACAGAAGCTGTGGGCTGGAAGAGCCAGCTCAGGGTGCCAGCACAGAGAGGTGGCTCCTGGGGCCCACCTGGTCCCCCAGCCCAGCCCACTCGGCGTGGTTCCCCCACTCCCACCCTGCTGAAGGCTTGGCTGAAGATGGTTTGGGAATGGCAAAGATCCCACAGACTGCGGCAACAACTCCCAGAGGAGGCTCAGACAACTTCTGTGGTTTGCAGGATCTGGTGCAGAATGCTGAAATTCAAGAGATTATGTGCTTGGTGCCCTCATGCCTTGATATGTGAGTGCCTCATCCTGTGGTGTTCTTTGGCCAGAACCTGGATTTTGGTCTCTTTTTTTTGCTGCATAGATTTCAAGTGTAAGTCTTTGTTTTCTTGGCTATTAACTGTTGTATCTTACACATTTTGAGAGGTTGGAAGGGCTTGTCAAGGCACCAGTCAGCATCTCTTCACAGGGCAACCTTCTGTTAGGACACAAAACGAGGCAGGTGAGGCACTGTGATTCCCTTGCACTGGTGGGAGCTGGGGGGAATCAGCAGGATCTATCCGCAGAGTCAAACACCACGAGCTTCAAGGTACCGAGGTCACAGTCCCTTCTGCCGTGGCACATGGAACTCACCTTCCTTGGGAGGCTTCTTCCAAAACCCACTGGGTGCAAGTGGGCAGATCATCATCCTGGTTGTGTTAAACATAATTTTTAATAAACTCACTATGGAGACTTCCATTAACTTCAAGATCCAAGCTCAGCTTTGTAAGAAGGCACAATTATTTCAGTCAATGTGATTTAGGCATGTAGTCACACACTCAGTCTGACTTTAAATAAGGTTCAAAGTGATGCAGTTTAAGTTAAATTTTGTTTACAAATAATTAATAAATGTGAAGTTATTCTTCATTATTTGCTTTAAATTTGATTGCCTTTCCTCTTTCAGCTGTATTGTTTTCCTATTTACATTTTGCTGACTTTTGTATGTTTAGAATTTTAATACATTAAGTTACAGAGTGAATGAATTTTTCAGTTAGCAAACAGGACAAAGTATTGTGCAAAAGCATGTACTAGCCAATGTTTTAAACAGTCTTTAGGCTTTTGTTTGCCAGTACCTTTTCCCTATATTTTGGATTGCTGCAGGTGTGCCCAAAGTTATCCAAGTCAGATATACAGATATATAGATATACAGAAGAATAACGCCTGTGGTTTAAGGGAAGGCACCAGGAAAAACTGTGTCATTCTGACGAAGCTCACTGATCATAGAATACAAGATTGGTTCTCTGAAAAACTAAATGTAAGTTTATTTAAACTGCCAGTGTTTTCCTGGATGATTGATACCCTAAGGAAGGGGAGGAAGATTTGTGGGGTCCAGATGAGAATGTTAAAGTCACAGGAGAAAGAGACGGGGAGCTGGCTGCAGGTGAGCTCTGTACTACAGGAAAATAGTTGCCTCCAACCAAGAACTGAGCAAAATGAAACAAAGCAGATGAGACACAGAAGAAAACTCTTCGGAGAATCCAGAATAAGGAGAGGAATATTGGTCAGAAGTTAAAAGTGTTTGGAGTCTTACGAAACTTTTGGGAAGTTTATGAGAAAACTGATACCAGGTGGGACCTCTGCAAGGAGATGGCAAAGAAAACATTAGAACAGATAGTAGGAACAAATTCAAAAATAATGGAAAAGAATGGTTTGATAAAGATTGCAGGAAGACAGCTGAGATTGACATATAGAAATGGTGGAGCCATCAACTCCAGATGACTAACGCTCTAAAGCCAGAAGGAAACTCATGAGGTCAGCAGTGCAAGTGGAAAGGCAATACTTCCATGGCTTGGGAAAAAAAAATAATTAGGTTAGTAAGATTAGTAAAATAAACATATTTTATAAGGGTATTGCTGTGTGGAAGAGAGTATATTAACCATGTCTATGTCTGATAAAGAACAAATAAGGAATCCTTTTAATTATAAAAAACTCAATTACAGAAGAGCAAGGAAAAGTACTTTTATGTGCCCACTACAGGGAGATGTTTAATAGTGAATAAAAATACATCTCCCAGACACATGAGCTATTTGTGGAAGGATTAAATTTTGAAGTGATTCAAGAGGCAATCAGGACCTCAGGAACAACAAGACACCAGGTGCTGATAATATTGCCAATGAATTATCAGACATGGGAAAGAATATGACAATACTTTTCCATGATTCGGAGGTTTTAAAAAGAATTACAAGACAATAAAAGCAGGTAATGAGACAGTTGTTGGGAAAGAATAAAAGGGAAAAAATAGTATAAATAACAACTCCGTCATCTTATTGCTCTTTATGGCCCATAGTATTCTCTTGGTATTTTTTATCATCACATCCCTTTTAGTGAGGCTATATATGAAATATATGTTCTGAAAAAAATATCTTCTACAAATTAGCTGTTTTCATTTTGCCATTAGTAAAGAAAAAAATACTTAGATTATTCTAATGCTATATGTTTTATATATGAGCTAAAATGGAAGCCTGTCAAAAACCTTGTGCATTTATCAGAACGGTGTAACTGAGCTTGGAGTGTGAAATCAGAGTACAAAATGTGGAATTGCATCTGTTCCATTTGAGAGACTTAGGGCAATATACTAACACTACTGCTGGAAAGAGTAGTACAGTTACAGCACAGCTCCCAAAACATCCAGTTTTTGCAAACATAGGTGCTGCTTTGGAAATTCTGTGAAGGCAAAACAAAGATTTGAAAAGCGTTAGGAGAAAACCAATACCAAAGTGCAATGAAAACTTTGCATTTTACACAAATAAACAGATCAGGGAGAAATATGTCTTTAACAGGAAAGAAAGTGCAAAAGTTGTGACAGATACAAAGAATGCCTAGTCTTTAATATTATGATTTTATTATATATTTTTTTAAATATTCAAACCATGATACACCTCTAAATCATCACATTCACTTGACAGAATAATAGGTCATAAGAATCTGCAAAAAGATTTCTTCTGCTGTAATTTCATTTAACCACATACTGTGGTTTTAAGCCCAAGTGAAAAATAAACCCCATGTAGCCATTCACTCCCTCTCTCCCTCACCCTAGTGGAATGGGGAAGAGATTGAAAGTAAAACTTGTATGTTGGGATAAGAACAGTATAATAATTGAAAATGAAATAAAATACAGTAATAATGGTGATTGATAACAATAATAATGATGATAAGAAAAGAAACAACAAGTGATGCACAATGCAATCTCTCACCACCCACTGACTGATGCCCCTTCTGAGCCCAGATCCACCAGCTCCCCCCAGTTTATATACTGGGCATGGCTTTCCATAGAATGGAATATCCCTTTGATCAGCTCAGGTCACCTGTCCCAGCTATGCTCCCTCCCAGTTTCTTTTGCACAGCTCCTCACTGGCAGAGCATGAGACACCAAAACCAAACAAACAGAACCACAAAAAACCCCCCCAAAAAAACCCCAAAAAATCCCCAAAAAACCCCCAAAAAACCCTTGACTCAGAATAAACACACATTATCAAAAAAACCAAAACATCAGCGTGCCATCAACACCATTCTCATTCCAAATCCAAAACACAGCACTGTGACAGCTACTGAGAAGAATTTGATTCTATCCCAGCTAAAACCCAGGTACCATAATAAAATGCTACAAACCATCTATTTGTATGGAGTGATAGACTATATTTCCAACTATGTGTTATGGCAAGAATAAAGCAGTATTGAACCAGTATTCCTGGGTCTTGAATTATTTTTTAAGTCAATGTAGAGATGTTCATGTGTAATGTTCAAGTGGGATTAGAGGTCAGTTATTTAAAACCAGCCTTACAGCAAACTTTAACAATTTGAAGTTTCCCAGTTCTTCTTATATTCCTAGTGGTAATCCAGGGGTTAGCAGCTCTGATTTAACAGAAAAATCAAATCAGTACTATGAGGTGTGCAAATACATTTATTTTTCCAGGTTTTAGGACTGATCCCACAAATTGCACGGAAGATTATTATCCCACCTTTTTTTTTTAATGTGAATACAGTACACACAGCATAAAATTATTAGCAGACACTGTGTGCTGGTACACTGAGCTCCCACCTGCACCTAAGGAAAGAATGATCATTTGGAGGTATTTATTATCCCCATCTTGGCTGAGAGTTCAGAACAGCTTTCCATTAGAGGAAAAAAAGAAGACAACAACAGACACAGAGGACACTCTTTGATGAGAAACTGCCTAAAGAAAAACAAGCTGAAAAAGATGTAAAATATAATGGGTGCCTAAATTTCCAACAAAAAAAATACAGCTCAGTTTCTGAAAAAGGATGTAAAACTGGATGTGATATGTCTTCTTCCCTCCTGAGGAACCAGTTGCTTTTTTTCCTAATATCCAGATCTGTGGGCAGGCAGTTTGGTTCCTGATTCCACCCCTGTACCTCTGCAGGACTGAGCTCTGCCTGCTGCCAACCTGACAAAGGAGGGACACCCATCCATTGCCTGCAATGCCATCTCCTGCTCTTAGACCACCTAAAGGCACTGAGGAGATCTCCTAATTTTTATTTTTCTACTCTCCCTGGTGCTGGCTGAAGCAGGAGCTGTGTGGGCAGAAAATAAAAAAGAGATGGGACAATAACTATGAGTGAAAGTTATCCAGCACAGGTTGCAAAGCCAAGTTTCAATTGCTGGAGTGAACTTACAGTACTAACTTTCAAAGAAAATGTTTCCATGGAGTGACTAGGCCAGGATTTATCCTAGGGCTGATGCTGGTATGAATTGCAGTGAAAGGGGAGCCTGTGCAAAGCACATTATGTGCCCTTGCTGTGCCAGAGAGGGAAATTTAATTCCCAGGATGCCACTTGGTGTTCACACCGAGCAATTCCTGCAGGACCTTTCTTTCCACCCAAAGAGCTGTTTTTTTGGAGGATTTCCCTTGACATGCAGTTTTTTGCAATTTTTCATTAGTATGCTGGATTTTTGTTTCTTTGCTGTATCAGAGGCAGTGTGACTGCTGCCTTCATTGTTACATTTCTATTTTCTCAGATGACATAAAATATAGCCCAAAACACATAGCAAAGAATATCACACTGCATTGCAACCCCAGAATAGGAAGCCAGAGAAGATTAAGTCTTTTCTGTTAGAAAAGCTTGTTTCTGGTGGTTTTTTTTTTCCCAAAATAGTTACAAGCTGAGATCAGAGAAGCCTTGTAAACCAAGGCTCATAGTACAGACAGTAGGATTCTAAACTTTTGGGACAGGGAATTGGAGAACACTGAGCTAAGGTGTGCTAGAAGGGAATCTTGGGATTGCATTTGAGACTGAAGGGATGCATCTAGTCTGTTGTTTTGCCTGCATCAAGTTTGAACATGTTTCAAGCCATATTTCTGCCCTATTGTGTTTAGATATTACATTTCTGTTAGATTTCCCACATGAAGAAATTGGAGCTCTTACTGTGTGTTTCTCTTGGCTTTGTATTTTGGGGCTGGCTGCTGCCTGGAGCCCTCTGTGATAAGGGAGAGAGAGAAAAGTTTATGGAGGCATTTGTAGGCATGGCTGGAAAAGCAGAGCTGTCAAAGAAAGCATCAGAATGGGAAAGTGATGAAGTGGTAGGCAGGAAAAGTTATGAAAAAACTTCAGTAAATATGGAAAAAATTTGAAGAAGGATGAAATCTTTCTGCAGTACAGAAATACTTCTAAATTACAGGCTGCTCTCCTCATTGTTCTGTTGCTGAAAATCAAAACCACTGCAACATGACCTGAGTGCTCTAAGCCATGAAAACTCACAGCAAGGGCCTGGCCAGCAGCATCTGTGCACCTTGTCCATGGGAATACACTCCCGCTTTGTGGATAAAGGACTTCAAAACTCCTGGATCTCCTGATAGTAACAAATAAAAACTCCAAAATTTAAAAATAATTTATATTTAGACAGTGAGAGAAAGCAGATCAGAATTGGATGGATTTGTTTTCTATATATGGAAACATTTAGAACCCAAAACTGAAGTCATTCTATCCAGCATCTAAGTAACTCCTGAAAAGTACAGTCAGAAGGTAATTCAGTTGTCTACAGGTTAAGGGAAAATGTGAAATGCATTACTGAGAAAAGTGATCCAAACCCTTAGAGGTAACAGAGTGACTGGCAATTTCATTGCATTTAATAGCATCTAAGGAAGACTCTTTTTCTTGCTGAACTACTTATTATTAAGTAAGGTAAACTCTGTTTATGCTATTTTGCATTTATTCTATCTATGCTTATACATACCTTGAAAAGCAAATAGATGTACTTTTTCTGTTGTAAAATAGAAGATAAGTAGACAGCAGAAAAAAGTTAGATTTTTTTTTTCCTAGTGTAAAATATATTTTTCAGTTAAAACACACAGTAAGTAAGATTCTAGGCATATTTTTAGCTACAAAAATGGAAACTTCTAAGTAGTTCTTTCAAGCAATAAAGAAATCAAAGCTGCCTGCAGAACACAGGCAGTACTTACAAAAATACTGTTTTGCTGAAAACTTAATTTCACATCAAAATAAGGTTTGAGAGAAAGCTTTTAATCAGTCAAAGAACCTACCATGCTGTTTGATACCCCAGCCAGTCCTCTTTTCTACTCCTGCCATCATCCTACAAATCTTATCCATTTCCTCATGGAGCTGTGGATCAATGTCCAAGCTGTGGAGAACTGTTCTGCCTCCAGACCACTTCCTATCAGGGAATGGCATCCGGGGAAGGATGCTCCTAGAGGTTAAATCTTCTGAAGATAGCTGTGGATCCACAGGATAAATTACTCTCTCAGTCCTCCCCTGCACAAGGATTGCAGCTGGTTGAGCATCTCACATTTTTCAATAGCTCTTCACCCTTTTTCAGCTGTTTAATCACCAGCTGATACTGCCGTGAGTCTCAGCTGTTCAGCACTTCTCCCATCCCTGGCTATGAGGAGGATTCACTCCTGGAGCTTCTCTTCTCCATCCTTCTGTTGCTGCACTCTCTTTTGGTCTTCTAGTGTCTGCATGAAAAAGGTCAATATAATGGCTTAAGAGCTGCTTTAAAATGTGTAAAATGATCAAGCAAAGTGTCCTTGCCTAGAGAAGGGAGTTTGACATGGGGTAGTCATGGTGTATAACCCTAATGCTGGTGGGAAGGTGCAGGCAGGTAAGGTGCCTCACACTGCTGTGTGACACATATAGACAGCAGAGAGGGTAGCTGGGTCTGTTTGTCTGTCCATGTCTGACTTAACCTTTATCATCTTGCTGCTGGCACAGAGATATTATCACAGGATCACCAGCAGGCATTAATAACCCTACTGTGAGAAAAGCTAGAAGAGAAACAAAAAACCCACCAAAAAATAAAAAATAAAAGGATAGCTTCAATTTTTCCTCTCTGAAAGAATGGATTTCTTGAATTTATTTACAGAATGCAAAAAGTGTCTCCAAGATTTATGCCCATATATTAGCTTGAAAAATCCTTCAAGATTTCTGGCAGTTTTCAGACATTACCTCTAAATGAGAGCTCTTCTAGCATCCCTCATCACCGAGTCAGGATGTTCAGGGTGTCTGAGGAGCTTTGTTTATCTGAAACCCACTGCTTTCTTTCCAGTTCCCATTGCTGGACAGCAATCGCTTCTGGGTGGTCTTATATCTGAAAGAAAGGATTGCTTTGTCACAATGCAGTGACTTCTGAATAATTAACCACCAAACAAGCCAGACCACTGCAGTTTGTTCCTCAGACTCACCTTCATGAATGAGGAAGATTCCATTCTGCTCTTTACAGATGGTCTGTGGCTAGAAAAGTGTGTTGCAGAATTGCTTTAGCTGGGAACAGCAAGTGGATTGCCAAGCTGAGGACCTTAGAAAGGGACATGAATTAGCAGAGCTGCCTTCAGAGGACTGACACAAGATGCTTGGCCACCCTTGTTAACTCATTTGCAGTAATGAATGAAAAAAGAAGCCCATAAAATAAATTTTTTAAAAAAGGATAAAACTGTGGCACACTAAATGGCTGATTTCATTGCTTGGGTTCCTGTTTCTGGATAAGTGCTAAATCTAATAGAAATACTCTGGGTTTCATGCATTTATCCAGACTTGTGAAACCTTCCAGATATTGATCTTTCAGATGTTGTATATAGAAAAAGTGGACATTAGAAATGTAAAGTTTTCTTAAATGAGGAAAAAATAAGATACATTATCAGTGATGTGACTGTGCAATTGTTTTAGTGATAAATCTATATATTCAATTTAAAGCAAGTTTCCATGGCTGGTCTTTATAACCTTCACATCATGAGTCTTAAAAAGTTTAAAATTAATAATAAAGCCAGACTCCAATGCACTGATTGCTCTGCCCTGAGAAAAGCCATATTTGAGCCTGGGATGGTTTGGTCATGTCAGGATATGCCTGAGGCTTAACACACACAGCTGTACCACTGCAAAAAACACTTGAAAACTCATTCTGTCTTCTGCATTGCTCCCCCACTGCTTTCACGCCCACTTTTTCACAAAAAGCATAAGCTAGATCTATTTTCTTGACAATCAGGGAGGATTTTCCCTGCAGGAACCTGGCTGTAATATGACATACAGGCAGAAGTGCAGCGATTATCATTCTGTGTGTGTGATTTGGGTGCAGTGAGGGACCACACAGCAATTATCACTGGCTTGAAATGGTGCTTTAAGATGTTAGAGGCTCCAAGGGAAGAGTTCTTGCATGTTTCTAAAAGAGATGGGAAAAGTTAGAAGAATAGTGTCTGAGAACGCCTCTTTTTGATTTTACTCTGCAAACACACAGCACTGTGAGCTAAGGAGAGAGGGTCACTAGATGTAAGACATTGTTGTAATGGCATTTTTCAACTGATTTTGTCATTATCTTTGCACAGAATTCATCCACATTTTCAGAGGGGAAGTACAGAGATAAAAGATAAATGCTTTTTACACTGCTTGCCAAAAGAAACTCAAGTATTTGTTCATTCTGTATGAGTATATGTCTTTTGACAGTTGATGCCATTATTTGTTGGAATTTGTGGGTATTGATGATTTTGAGATTGTATAAAATTTTTTTCTTTTTGCCTCGTAGCCAAAGAAGAAGCCATAATTCATCTGTGCTGGTTTCAAGGTTGTTTATTCTTGCTTATCTCTAACATGTTCTGCTGCCCTGCCACAGGTCTGTCCTGCAGGGCAGTGTGCGGGGCTCTGCCCCCAGTGGGATGTTACAAACATTATATACCAGAAACTACCTGTGCTATATTTACAACAATATCTATCATCTACGTTGAACAGTGTTTCCCCAGCCTAAACCAATAGAAAAATGCCAACACTACAGTGAAACATGGAGGGCATGAAGAGGGAGAAAAAGGACAAGACACACCCAGTTTCCTCCATCTTGTCCCCTCTGAACCCCTAATCTAGAAACCTAAAATTTTACTTTTGCACCCATGCCATACTTAATTATTACTCTTATCAAACACTCAAAGCTTGTAATTCATCCTGTAAGACTGAAAACTCTTTTCCATGGACAGAGATCACAGACAGTGTCTCTCGGGGCTCTATACAGGGGGGTTCCTGACCCCCTGCCAGGGTCCCAGGCCCTCCAGGACAAACAAAAGAAAGCCCTAGATTACCACAATTATTGATCTTCACTGCATGGATATAGCTAAGTAGGAGCCATGGGCTTTATGTGTAACAAACAGACCAAGCAAACACGAATGAAAATGAACAGGGTTTATCTTTTAAAATCAATTTATTAATAGCCTATTTGTGCTGGGGAAGGAGGAGGTGAGACCATATTTAAAAGTACCAAGATGTTGCAATGCTGCCCATTTTAAAAAAATCTGGCCTTACGAAGAAATAACATGTTATACCTTAAAACTCTGGCTGTAAACTTATCCCTGACTTTGAGTCTCACTCTGTCTGCTTGTACAGCAGTGCTGTGGGCTCACGCACTTATTTCTTGGGCAGGTCAGGAAAGACAAATGTGGAAAAGAGTGGGATAAACCAGTACTCAGACTGAATAAGGGCAGTAAAATGTGGTCAACAGTCTTTTCCTCATACTGGTAATTTTTGATGGAAGATGAAATTAGATTCAATGACTAAATAAAATAATGTTTGCAATCCACATAAGAAGTTCATTTTTGGATTTCAAAAATACAAGACCTCAGGACATCTGTTGCATGTACTTGAACTGACTAAGCCTGTTGGGCAACTATTTGCACTGGTTTTGGCTATGGTAGAGGTAATTTTCTTCACAGTAGCTGTTTTGGGGCTGCGTTTTGAATTTCTGCTGAACACAATATTGGCAATTCAGGGATGTTTTTGTTATTGCTAACCAGTGCTTCACAGAGTCAAGGCCCTTTTTGCTTCTCACACCACCCCACCAGACAGGAGGCTGGGGGTACACAAGGAGTTGGGAGGGGACACAACCAGGACAGCTGACCCCAACTGACCACAAGGATATTCCAGACCATATGGCATCATGATCAGTATATAAAGCTGGGGGAAACGTTGTGCAGGAGTTCACTGTTCAGGCACTAGCTAGGCATCCATCAGTTGGTGGTGAGCAATTATTTTAATTTTCACTACTTGCCTTTCTTAAGTTTTAATTATCTCTGCTATCTTCCTTTTAATTACTGGTTTGTTATTGCTGGTTTTGTTTATATATTTGTTATTATTGTTATTATTATTAACTCCTCTCAGCCCAAGAGTCTTCACACTTTTCCTCTGCCAATTTTCTTGCCCCATACAGCCTGGAGGAAGGTTGAACAGGCAGATGTCTGGTGCTTAGTTGCCAGCTGCAGTTAAACCACGACATTCTTTCATGCCAAATACAATGCTACATTTTTTTTACTGCTGTCTAGAACTGTTTATGAAGCTTGTGCAATTCTTGCCAGACTGGTGTCCCTACAGGATGTGCTCGTACTGTGTCTTGCTACAGCCGTGGCAACAACTTCAGGACAGAGGGTGGCGGTACAAACATCGAGCAATTACTGGTAGTTTTATTCTCCTCTCAGTACTATGTGCCAAAAATATGTTCCAAGCTAGATTTTATGGAATCCTAAGGCACACGAGACAGATGGAGAAGCAACTGCAGTCCTCTATATTATCTTGGGTACACTTAAGCCTAATGGACAACTATTGAGTTTACCAGCTCGGCACATATACAGCACATCTTTAAGTTTTTCTGGTTTATATTAACAAATGTTTTTGCAAGTGACTTTTTTTTTCTAAATAAACTGTCATGATGCATTTGAAGGAAGCCCATCCCTGTGTAGCAGGTATTTGGCAATCTGAAACTCCGCAAGAAGTAATTTGACACAAATCCAGCTCCCTATTCAAAGAAATATTAACCTTTCATGATAAGCTGTAATTCTTGCTGAGAATTCAGTACATACTTAAAAAGAGTTTCTTGTATAAAACTATCACTTTAGTTGACCTCATAGACGAACATCTTTGTGCAGAACCAGCAGAGGTTATGAATGATCACCAGCCTAAGTACTCACATTTATTAAAGGACAGTGGAAAAGGTCCAAGGACTGCTTCAGGTGAAGTGCCAAATTCCCTTAACAGTAGTGTTTCACTGAAAAAGGATCTGTTAAACTGCTTTGTAGATGAGGCAGAAAACTAGTCTGTGGTTTTAGCTTCAGGAATCTCAGACAGTATGCAAAAAGGAACTGTGATGTGTCAAAACAGGACAGAGAGGAGAGAGTGAGGTGACTTGGAGACTCCATCTCCATCCCAAGTAATTGCTGCTTGGGAGTCCTGGAGCAAGTGAACATTTTCTTTCCCCTTGAAGTGAAGGCCTGGAGGTTGCTGGGGGACCCCTTGGTGCTCACATGAATGCAGTGCTGGGACTGTGTGTCATTGTCATGACTAGACAGACAAACACGTGTAACATGACCCCTACATATAAACCTGTCAAGAATTTGTAATTATAGACTAATCTGGAACCAGTATGCATTTTCACCTTCTCTGTTTTGGAGGTTTGGTGATCCAGAAATTGCAGCTCCAGCAGTATTGTCCTGTCTAGAATTAGGAGTGGTGCATCAAAAAGACAAGTCTGCTTCCTCAAAAAAGAGCGTCATATATAAACTGAGCTTTCTCCACTGGAATCCTTCTTCAGAGTGTCCAGGGAAACTCAGAATATCCTTAATCTGCAAAAGTGGGATAAAGAAATTAAAAGTGCTTTTAGGCTGCCAGGGTGACTGTACATAATGTTTTTCTGTAGCCTGGCCAACCATAACAAACTTTCGAGCAGCCTTGAAACAGGATGCAAGTGAAGACAATCAGAAACATGAAAACATCAATGCCATTTTACTTTTCCATTAGTAAAAGTTATACAGACAAGAATATCATGATATTCATCTGCAGCTTCTAAGTAGTAACAAGATTTTCAGACCTAGATCATTGAATCTAGGTTTTTCAGTGGAGATAAATGGATTCATTTGAAAGCAGAAAGTGTGAAACAGGCTGAGAATCATGCATTGTCTCCACTTATCACCATGCTATATGTCTGAGATAATGAGTGACAAGTTCTGTGCGCAACGACATGGAAAATGAGAAAAATTATAGCATTAATCACAGTGGTGTCAGTTCTCTGGAGAGTTGACACTTAGCTATGTATTAGGTTTTGAAGTTTACAGTGTAATTAAATTAATTTATTTATCTAAATGTTATTAAATTAATCCTTATTAATCTCATATGAAAAGACAGAGTGAATTTGAGGGTAACAATAGCATTATTTCATCTCTGCACACAAATAAAGAAATGGTATAAACAGACATCATGACATAAACATAATGATAGAATAACTCTCTTACCAATATCACATCAAAGGTCATTCTACTCAACTTTTAGGTCTCCACCCGTGAGTAGCAGTGGTAGCTTATGGACATAAGAATGGAGGTATGTCCAGATAGTGGATTAGAGGTTCCTAAGCTAAAAGTAGAATGTGGGCTATTGTGCTTACTAAGCAGTAAAAAAGCCCTTACATTAGTAGTTTTGGCCATGGAAATATCCTGCAAAAATAAGTCCTATAATTTAATTGTAGCCCAACAAATAATTCCAAATTTTTAATTCTAAAATTACAGTTTGCAATCACAGCTTACGAATACTGGCAGGATTGGGAAAGCACTTTTAGCACCTAGACAAGCTTTCCAGGACTGCCTTTCCTTCAGACTTTGAGGAAGCTGACAGAATTTTTTCACAATCACATTGCTATAAAGGTCATGAGATCTCAAACAACATTAGGGATTAAAGACACAGGCCAAAAAGAAGCCTTGCCCACTCAGTATTCCTGTGTCACTGAGATCAGTTGTTCAGTGCTTCCTTATAAACATCAATAAATAATAAAACTGAAAGTGATTGCCTGAACCAACAAAATAACCCATCACTAATAGAAATACTACTGACAGGACTTTGAAAGGCAGTGATGGATGAGAAAGGAAATTGAGAGGAAAACCCAGAAACTCTGAGATATTTTACTCAATTTTGTGTGATGTCTTTCTAGGGAAAGAGGAGGCTTTGGAGATTTAGTGGCTGTAACCCTCTCAAGCAAAAGAATCAAAGATAAAAGGCCTTTACAAGGCAGTGAGTTGACACAGGACATGGGATAATATTACTAAGATAGATACTGCAGGGTATCATAGGATTACACTCACATTTATGCTATGGATTGGATTAAGAGACAATTAATGCTTGAATTTCTTTAAAGATTAAATATTCTTTCATGTTGCAAAGAAAAAAAACATTGCTTACTGTTCTTCAAAGCTTAAATTAATCATATAATGGTGAATAGATTTTTTTATTCCTAATTGAAATCCTTTATTTTAGAAAGATATATTTAATTTTCAGTTAAATTGAAAAGTCATTTTAAAGATGAGTATTTTCCTTTTGTGAAAAATTGCCTTTTCTTGTAATTTTCCCTCTTTTTGAAAACCCCATTTAAATATAAGGCAAAAATGAAGCTACAGGGTTTTCTCTTAAAAGTGCATCTCTATCACTACCTTTTTGATGCATGAATATGATAAACTCTTTGATGTGGCCTTGAGAGGATCCAAATTTTCTTGGATTCATGCAAACAAAATGGATATATCTTCAAAGCAGAAAATCTTCTAGCTCATTTGTCTATAACAGATAAGCACCCCTTAAAAAGAAAGAAAATGGCGGAATTTGTACTTAAAAAAATGATAGAGTTTAAAGATATATTTCATTCTGTTTACTAGCTGGTTATGCAGGTTCTACAGTTATTTGTTTGTAAGAAATATTTTATTCCAATGTTGTTTAGTTGCCAGGATATTTTTTGCTTGACCCTTATGTACATTTTAAAATTCAAATTATTTTTTTTTTTTACTGGTCTATAAAAGTCCCCAGCTGGGAAACACACTTCTGTCTTTGCTGATTTACTCTTGGACTATTTAGTGAATGAGTTCAGACTTGTAAATACAAACACCAAGAAAACATATGACTGGACTCTCAATCTCCAGTAGCACGTAACAATATTATTTTTATCTCCAGACAGTGTCCATCCTCACACAATATGCTCTTATTAAAATGCATCATACAAAATGAAGCAGTTTTGATTTTTGTTTGTTTCAGCAGCTGGAGCATGTCAATCAGCCATGAAGCCATGGAAGACCAAGGATTTTGGGATTTTGGAATCACAACTTCTAGGATAAAAGGAACTAAAAAACAAGATTACATTTTACTTCATAAGTTGCTTGAATACATTTGAAAGAAATTTTTTTTGACAAAAATTTATACAAAAAAGAAAGACTGAAGAGTATAAAACATTTTGAAAGTGTATGCTTCAGTCTTTGTTGATCAAAGTATCGTAAGTAAGTTTTCATTGCCCCTTTGAATGCCATTTGATCAAAAAGTAGGAGAATCCTGAGTATCTAACACTAATATATTATTGTTTGGTTCAATCATACTTGGAAATAACTTAATTCAAAGTTAAGATTAATTCAAAATCTCATTTATTCTCGAAGACTTCCTGCTATGGAATAAAGTTTGAAATGAAACAGTTTCCTTTGAAAGAAAGGATATGGAGACTGAGGTTTTAGTAGAAAGAGGGTGTCCAGCATTGATCAGTTTTTCTGGCAGCTGGGAGGGGATAAAACATCAAGGTATCATTAAGATCATTGATGTAACATCCTTGAGTGACCTGTAGTGAGCTGTGATATTAGGAATTTTCTACCTAGTGCCAAGACATTGTCTTTCAACTTCCATGAAGTAACCAGTGCTGGTACCCCACTCTGCATGTTAGGCAGACTGGAGGCTCCCAGAGGAAGGGTTCACATGATTTTGTGCTCCCTAGACATGATTTTCTTCTCCTGTCTTACTGTGTGGAACACACAGTGCAGGAAAGAAGGGGAAATCGAAACTGTGGTTAAAAAGTAATAATTCTCACAACAAAACAAGTCAATGCAGAGGGACCTGCTAGTGTCCTTTTAAAACTGTGACAAGTTTGTCATTTTGTCTTGAGTGTCACAGAGAAGCTCTAACTTGGTTTTTTAGTTGGAGATTATGAAAATTAATGTGGCAAATGAAAAATAAGTTTGTACAAACCACTGGAAAGTGAGTTATGTTGTTTTCTACAACTGTTTCTAGCTGGAGACAAATGGTTGTCTTTCTTAAACACAACAGTAAACCAGGATGCTGGAAGCTGATTTACAATTCACCTACTATTGCCACAGCTGTGATTCAGAATTTTGGGTTCACTCTTAGAACTGTGTATGACGCCCCAGAGCAGAGTTTTCTGCTTTCCTGTGGATGCTTGTACAGCTACTCTCAGCCTGCAGATACTGCAGAGCACAGGTAAGAGTCATGAAAAGGGTAGAAATGTTTCTAACCTGCAAGAGTAAAGAGGTATCCTAAGTGCTTGAAGAGGTACTGATGTGCTACAACCTGGAGAAAAAAGGAGCTATTTTCTTTCCTGTTATTTAGACAAGAATGGTTGAGTCCCTCTTAAAAAATGTGCTAAGTTTTTCTGACCTTTTTGGAGTTTTGGCTCTGTTGTGTAAATGACATTCTAACCCTTGCTGGTGAACTTCCTCTGCTGATCCAAAAATGAAAGCTGCCAATAGCCTTGTTTGAAACATAGGCAGTTTGTTCTGGCTAATCCAATGAGAATTGTCTTTGTATACATCATTAGCTATTTTTTTCATACCTGGCAAGGAAAGCAAGAGGCTGATAAATGATTATTCTCTTACCTGCTGGCTACATTAGAATGAATAAGATTGCAAGCAGCTGTTTCAACAGCCTTAACAGAAAGCACACTTACTCCACACTAAAGACTTTTCCAAAAAGCATAGTAGAAATGTGTAAATATCTTTTCACTCAGTTTCATATTAAAAAATTGCTAAAAGTTCCCTGGATCCCACTGGTGATGGTACTTTTTGCAGCTTAGTGGAAAGCAGAAACTGGCTGAAATCTTTCTGTCACATTGGTTTCTGATTCCTGCTCTCCTCTTTTTTTCAGCAGTTTTCTGTGTCTTTCTGGTCTGGGAATACATGAGTTCAACAATCTGTCACTGCTGTCCTAGGAAAATGGGGTATTTTAGTACTTCCTGCATGCAGAGCCTTGCCTCCTGGGTTCAACATCTGCAGACAACAGCCAAAGGCTATTAGCATTACTTTCTGTATTGTTACAGTGCCCAAAAATTCCAGGCAAGAATCAGGCCTGATTGTGATGGGCACTGAACGAGCACAGCTGGAGTGTCCTGCTCTGAAGGATTCATGGACCTTTCAGCAGTAGTCCTGATTATAATAATTTACAGACATACACTGGCAGAACCTAGGGCAATTTAGCCTGTGAAATATATAAGTATGGTGTGGAGTAACTCATGAAAATGGCACAAAGGCATAGTCACAAAAAGATCTTAATCCATGTGCCAAGATTTAGAACACTAATTTGTTCTATAGCCACTGGACAATGGGGATGATACAAGAAGCCATTCAAAGCCCTGCCCTGAATCACAACTTGGAAAAGCTCTTACCCCATATTCCCTGGGAAAAAAAAAAACCCAAAAACACTTCCAAGATGGACATAAATTATAGGTTTCATGTTTAGGCAGTTTTAACACCTCCAAACCCAGAGTTTCACAAAAAATTCACCATGATAATAAGTCTGATTTAAAGCATACTAACACTAAATAATTCTGAGAATATGTGAAGTTTTATAAAATTTTAAATGCATTGTACAATTAAGATAGTTGGAAAGGCTTCATATAATAGTTGGAAGTTTTCATTTCTACAGAGTAATCTCCATCCATTTCTTTTTACCATATTACCATATTACTATTACTTTTTTATTATTATTACTTATTACTCGTACTATATGACCATTATTATTACTTATTACTATTACTATATTAGATACTGAATTTAACTTCATACCTAATGTTATGAGCATAAAATCTTTTGCATTTCAATGTCAATCTAAATAAAATTAATGGAAATTTCTTAAACCTAACAAAAGAAATTCTTCTATGTTCATACAGCAGTTTTAGAAGCTATTATCATTATACACTTATTACTTTTACTATATGACTATTATTATTACTTATTACTATTACTATATTAAATACTGATTTTAACTTCATACCTAATGTTATGAGCATTCAAGCCTTGCATTTCAATGTCAATCTAAGTAAAATTAATGGAAACTTATTAAACCTAACAAAAGAAATGCTTCTATGTTCATACAGCAGTTTTAGAAGCTATTATCATTCACCTATATAGATGCCATTTGCATATAAAAGATAACATAGGCCATATATGCAATATACAGACATTTATATAGAACATATATACAAGAGAAAAATATAATATTTTAGCATACTAGAAGTTTTGCAATGTCATTGTTTTCCACCACAATCTAGAATCACTAGAAAGAAGATAAGAATGAAAGGACACAGGAGATGATTCTGAAGGTCTGTACAGACCCTCTGTAGAGCTCAATATCCTCTCTCCAGCTGGGTCCCAGAGGAAGTGACTGGAGGGGAGCACAGACACAGGAGAGCCCAGAGCCACGCTGGATGTGCCAGGCACAGCCATGGCTCCCACACCTTAGAGACCCGAGTGGCTTCTGTGCATTCAGGAACTTTTAAGGAGCAGATTGTGCTCAACTCATCCAGCCTCCCATAACCCCATGCAAAATTTGCGCTTCACCACACCCTGCAACCAGATCGTTCACATCCCAGGTTTTCCAAAATTTGTTTTGAATAGGCCTCCTTTGGTTTCCTTTGATGTCCCCTGTTCTTTAACTGAAAAAGCCAGAAAATTGACAGTGCCTGATTCACTTTGTCCCTGTGCTCTCCATGATTTTATGGAGTTTTAAATTTCTGGAATGCAGGAATTTTATTCTAAAGAAATTTCTGTGCAGGACACTTCTGGTTCTCAAAAATTTAAAGAGAAGATTGTAATTAGCAATGATGTCAGTCCCATCAATAGATCACTCTCTAGTGGCTTTGCATATGAAGCATATGTAGCATATGAATACATATTCTTTTCTAGAATTCAAATTTTGAGAATCTATTTTTGTTAGTGAACTGCAGGAAAGCACAGACACATGCACACATGAGAAAAACAAACATTTCATTTGCTTTCTGTGAGAGGAGACAAAAAAAGCAGTGCTTGCCAGCTTCATATTGTTAAGATGATTCCTAAATATCATGAAGGACTGTGAAAATTCCCATTAGCTGCAGACACAAAAGTCTTATATTTGATTTACCTATAAAAACCACATTGTACTGTGTAAAGCAGATTTGCAACTTTTTTAGGATATTTTGAAGTCTAGACAGTTAGTGTTGTAAAAGAGCCTGACTTGATTAACTCCACCTCTAGGCCGAGAAAGTGATGCACATTCTAATAATTCACAGGCCATCTTTCAAAAAAAACCCCACCTTTCTGTCATCTCAGATTGTTTGCTCTTATGAATCTCAAAAAGTCTGAATATACTTCAAAAACATTTTCAAGCATTATTCTCAAAGCTCTTAAAAATTATGGCAACTCCAAAGGCTTGCTGACATTTTTGAAGCTACTGAGTAGCACTGAGGTAGCTATGTAATTCATCTGCAGTGTAAAGCAGGCAAGGCAACTGAAGACAGAAATACTTGATTTGATTTTTGCTGTTGTTGGATTGTTGCTCCATGCAATGCAGTGGAAACTGAAGGCATTATGGATGAGAACAGGGCAGGACAATTATAATTTATGATGCATGGAGTCACTACGGAAAATTAATTCTTCCATACTTGATAGGATACCATCTATTATCAACAAGGCTTCAAATAAGTATTGCATCATTATTTCATGTTATATCAATTATATGTGTTTCAAGTACCATGATTTTGCATTTTTTTATTAATTTTCAAATCTGGAATATTATGAATAAGCAGCAAATTTCCACTGAGGAGCACTGGAAGACCTTAACCAGATAAAGATGCTCAGATTTTGGATAACCTGTCAGGTAACAACAGCTGAGCTGCAGCTGTCTGGAGCTGGAGACAGAGGGCAGGGCCCAGACCTGGAGCTGAGGAGTTTGTACATGAGATGTTGATGGCTTTCCTTGGCTCCAAAGAAACCACAGGTGGCTCTGGGACAGCCTCAAGAGAGTGAAGAATTTGCAAAGTTATAGGCAGAGAGGCTTTGCCTCATTTTTTTCAGAAGTCTGTGGTGTATTATGTTAGTTATTATTACTATTGATAGCAATGTGTGCTATATCCAGCATATTTATTATGCTTAGCATTAACAAGAGATGCTGTAGGATGATAATACTAATGCAAAAGGAAAAATATAGCAACAGATTTAACAACTGTGCAATTTTTCATTGCTTCTTCAGAACCCCATTAATCACACAGCTCACTGATGGGTATTGGCTGCAAACCAATGTGACAGATGGTGAATAAAAATCAATGTCTCTTAAAAACCACCCACAGAAATATATTTCATTTTTACATTTTGGGCCTGCATCTCTTCTCATAGCCATTAGGCAATGCAGCATAAATACACATCTCTGTGAATAACTGCAATGAAAAGAGATCCAAATCATCTTTAAGACAAAATACAGGGACATTGCTTAGAAATAAGTAAACTTATTTGGGAATTTATTTTCCAATGCATTATGGAATTTATGTTACATGATAGTACTAATATAAAATGCAATTGATTGTGTGTTTAAAAATCAAATGGAAGTAAGGAATTGTAATTGAGAGACTGGTCTCCAGGTGACACAAAGAGTCATATTTGAAAGTTTTTTATAAAGATTGCATAAAGGAAGGCTAATTCTTTTACCCCGTACCCTTCACTACCATACTTGTTCTTCAATCCTTGTGGCTTCCTTTGTTTTCAAGACCACAGCTGACATAAAAGTCAACTGGATTAATCTTCTCCTCTTCCAGTAATTTTCAAAAGTTACTAATTTAGTAGCATCATAAGATATTCTGTAGTTGAGGTGTGGATACCTTTAGAATTTTCATGCACTTAGGTATATAGATACTGTGTTTGTTTTGAAAATAATTTTGAAAATAATAATATTAAGATATTGATTTATCCTCAAGCAAAACCACTTGGGAATACCTTTAAATATATTCATTTTAAAGAAGAATACCTTTACATATTTTTTGATAGAAAATAAATAAATTTCAAAACTTCAAATGTTTTATTTACGTACTTGAAAAATGAAAGTTCTGATTTCCATTTCTAAGTGAGGCTTTTTCAGACTTCTAGACTGCACAAAGACATTTCCCTATGTCATGTTGTCAGGTATAGGCAACAAGAAAATACCTATGAAAAAATTTCCACTCTGATGAAAGTCACCCACTGATTCACACCTAGTTTGCTCCTTTCCATTTTGTTACTTCACTCTGTGATATCTGACACATTTGCTTTTGATTACTGAACTCCTTTAAGCATGTCCCTTATCTAGTTTTCAGAGCATCTGTCTCTTTTCAAGATATACTTACCTAATATTCCACTTATGGTGCTATTTAGATTAAATATGAGATGTGAGTGCAGTGATTCATGTCAGTGCCCTGGTTCCAGCCAGGCCAGGGTTAATTTTAACCCTGGCCTGGCTGGAACCAGGAGACAAAGAAAAACCTTTTGCCAGAAAAGGAATGATTCTGAATTCCACCAGGACAAAAAAAAAAAAAAAAAAAAAAAAAAAAAAAAAAAAAAAAAGATGGATGCAAGATTCCACTGCATCCCTGAGCTTACAACCACCTGGGCAGAAAGCAGATAACCAACAATAGCTCTTCAGATGGCTTACCTGAAATAGATGTGCAGGCTGCAGGAGATGAGTACACAGAAAATGTGGCATTATTGCTTGAACAACAAAGCAAGAGACTGGGACAAAAGCCAGGAGGGAGAAGCTGGCTCTGGCTGGCTGTCCCAGCAGCAGAGCCCCAGCTGCTCTCAGAGGTGCCAGCAAGCTCAGAGCAGGGCTGGGCTGGGCTCAGTGTGCCACATGTGCTGGGTGCATGAGGGACAGCCCAGCAGCAGGAAGGTGGTGCTGGCTCTGAGCAGTTTAAAGTGCTGGCATCATGCAGGCAGCTACAGAAGTCAAAGGAAGATTTTTGGCCTTTTTCTTTAGTGGTTAGATATATTAACAAGACAAAATCCTGCTGCCAAGTTTGATTGGCTGAGTGTAGTTAAGGGCACATAATATTGTCTTGCCAATTTAAGTTTTAGATCCAGCCTTTTTTGTTGCTCCTGCTATTATTGCAGGTTTGAGTTTTTTATCAGATATTTTACTGCTAATATTTTGTATTTTGTTGTTGCTGTGGTTTAGGATTTTTTTTTCCTAGAAAACTTTCTTAGCAGTACTCCTAAAAGAATAAGCCAGTAGCTACACAGCAGCACTGATGAAACTTCTAGTATCCAAGGCATCCACAATTAAAACCCGTTATTTCAAGTTTTTTTACAAGATAATAGATTTCACAATATTCTATTAAAAATTAAGGTACTTTTGAAATGCTTTTGAATATGACATGCAAATACACCTGCATGCCTCTAATTTGCAAAATACTCATTAAAAACCAATTAAACATCTTTAAATGTTTAACTGCTGTAATAATTTTATATTGTGACTGAACTGTCAACAATAACACTTTATTAGCAGCTCTCTGCACTGTAAAACTGCAGGCAGCAGATGCATTATATCTGAAGCATATGAAAAACAATTTCACAGAGTGTAAAATCAGAAAATCTGAATATGTTTTCGTTAAATGCTTTGATGGTCATAAACTGATTGTAAACAGAACATCAAACATCAGGATAAAATCTCTAGCATATTAAACACCCCAAACATGGTATGCTTCAAGGAGGTCTATGAGACAAGGATCCATACCATGTGTTGAAGACTGTACTACTAAAAAAATTGCAGCATAAAACTATGGATGGCCCCAGTCCTGAACATGATCCAAGCATGATATGTGGTCCAAAAGTTAGCATCAACATTGCTTATTTACAGTGGGCAACATAAGCAAAGGTGAGCAGAACTGCTGCATCTTGTGAATGAAAAGGAGAGTTTTCAAATCTGCCATTTCTCTACTCGTATGACCTTTTAAATGTGCCCATATAACTACTTGGGCAAACCTGAGGATGAATGGCTCTAACCTTGCATCCCTTCAATTATTTCTTGGGAAAACAAGTTACCATAGGAGAATGACCTGCTACAGCCAAAGTCTTCTACTTCTGTTCCTCTGTTCCTATCTTTCACCTGGAAGACAGAAGGCAGCTGCCCACTCACCCTCTCTTCTCCTGCCTCACATATCCTGCAGATCCTGCAGATCTGCACTTATTTATACTCAGGTGAATAAGTGCAGATCTGGGTTCTCATTGCAGCACATGTAATCTGTGGAGAATGCACTCCAGCACTGCTGCCAGAATTCTGGGCAAGAAAGGCCACAGTGAAGTGGAGAGAGAAGGGCACCAGAATCCCACCAGAGACCTGGAGAACAAGGAGAATGAAGCTGAAATGATACCACCCATTTTGTGTGCAATGACAAGACTTAAGTGCGTGGGTTTTTCTGTACTCAAGGGCCTTTGGCAAAGGAAGATTTCACTTCCTGTCAAAACAGACAGAAAAAGGACACAATCATATAGACAACAAGAGTAGCTGGGGATTAAGACTAAAATACAAAATAAGAGGCGTGTGAATATGCCATGCAAATACACCTGCATGCCTCTAATTTGCAAACACCATTTATTAATTATTATCAGAGCATTGTGGTCCCCTTATCACATACCAGGGATGGCAAACCCAAGGTATGTTTGAATACTTTCTGGATTATGTAGCTCAGGTAAAAATAAAATTACTCTGTTACCAAGTAAATCTGATCTTACAGAATCAACCAAAGACAAAGATGCTGTCTTCTGGCCAGAAAAACATTATACAATTTTTAACAGCACATCTAAAATGATCCTAGATCTGCATCATTTTTATTTGGGTTTTGCAAAAAGCCTTTGCAAAATCTTTAGGGAGATACACCTAATATACAGAATCAACCATCATGCTTCAGAAGAAGAAAAGCGGGGTTTTTTTGTATTTCTGATACTGGAGCTTGTAATGAAACAGAGCACATGTTTTTCTCCATTCCGTTGTCAGCTATTTTTTGCTTATCTTCATTTGATGCCTGGCAACAACAGAATTTATTTTCCCTGTCTACGTTGACTGAAGTGATGTGGTCCCTTCCTTCCTGGCTCTCAACACTGCTTGTACAGTACTGCAGAGGGTAAGACAAGCCATTAGATATTAACTTTACAGACTGAAACAGTAGCTATTTTGTGAAGTAAAAGTATAGGATGAGAGAAGACAAGTCCTATATCCCCTGACATGTGAGTAGGCTAAATCAGAGCAACATCACAACACAAAGCAGGCAACTTCTGTAAAACTTGAATCCTCTTTACTAACTTCAGCTTTCTGAAGAAAAAAAGGTGCTCATCACATGGCTTTTACCCAAACACCTGTTCTGCAAATTAACCAGTGATTTTCACCTCTAGTGAGGTTGATAAAGTATTTCAAACCCATCTTTAAAAAGCATGCTGATTAAACAAAATGGACATGCAATCATTCTGTTCTAAAACATGTAAAGTATTTCTCTAGAGCCTTATGTAGTCCTCTTCTCCACACTGAAAATAATTAGAACCTCAGAGAGAAGTGCCATACAAGTTTGGTAAGGACAGCAGAATTACTCGTTTTCTCTTCGTTATGTGATCCTTGCAGCAACACACAGGAGGTGATGAAATAAGACATTACACCAAATGTTTTCCAGAGGCAGCCTTAAAACTCTTCTCCCTGAACCATTGCAGCCAGATTCATTTAGACCATTCACAACCAAAGATTTGATTTAAAGAATGTATCCAACAGGAACTCATCAACCCGTGTCACTAAAGAATCAAAAGCCTTAGAAAGAAACCCTTTCTCTGAAACCAGGCCAAAGTCTAAATTTGCTCTAATTTCTACAGTCTTGAGCAATCAGACCCAGCACTTGTCAGGACAGCCACCCCTACAGCCTGAAGACCTGGACTTTTCCAAATTTCTGCCATGGTTAACAACCATCATCTTTTAAGACAGGGAGGGCCAGGAACTCCTTTGCATTGAAAACATATGTTTTGCATTTTGCAGGTGTGATTTGAGCCCTGTTCTCACAACAGGATAATTCCTTTCCTTCTGTGTGTGAGCTGGCAGGGGGAACAGGCACAAAGGTATCATTCCCAATATAAAAGGGGGAATTTAGGCGCAGAGGAGTAAGGATAAATATTTATTAATATGAATGTCCTGTTTGAAGAAGTAAGGTCTGAATTTCCAGAGAGCTTTGTGCTATTTAGAAATATGTGTTCAAAATAAGACAAATTGCAGAGACTTCAGCTGTGGTAGCTGTTTATGCTTTTATAAACTAGAGTTCCCAATTCAACTGGAAAATGGGTAAAAAGAAAACAATCTCAAAGACCGCCTGTGAAAATTTAGATTTACCTGATCTGTCCAGGGCTACACAAAGCATCAGTGGGTAAATTAGAACTGGGCCCTAGTTTCTGGGGCAATGTTCTCTGCATATGGTGACTCCTTTCCCTTTAGTACCTGCCTGATCCTCAGCTCAGTGCCTGTGTACTAAAACAAATTGAGCTCCTGATTCAGTCCCAAACCAGTTCTACACTGGGCAGCATACAAGGAAATCCTGAAGTTAAAGACCACAATGACAATGTACAATGCAATTTCTAAAATTGTAATTTTCTCCACAACTTCTCTATGTTTTGATTAAAAAAATATTATATTAGAAACAAAAACTTCAACCAAACAAAAACACAGTATCTATTTAGTACAAGAAGTCTCAGATTCTGAAATCTGGGCATGTCATCTTTTGCTTGTTCATTGGACCAAGCTGAAGAAAATCCCATCATTTTATCATATTGACAAGTATCTTTCCCACCAGAAACATTCTGGTTCACTGTTGCTTGAGCTAATGAACCTTCAGTAATGTCATCCTCCTTGAGGACCAGTCCTGTAGAGGGAAAGAGATGTTCTGAAACCAAGAGATACAATCTTCTACCAGAAAGGAATGAACTTTGCAAACTCTGCTTTTTCCCAAGGAAAGGCAAAATATGGACACTATAAAGTCATCCTTAATTCAGCCCCTCTCACCTCTGGCTCTTCCTCCCCCTGTATAGGGTAGCTCCTCTGTAGCAGCTGGGCTTTGATGCTGAGATTGATAGGTAAATGCATTTTGGGATGCAAATGGTAAATTCTGGATCTAAATGAAGTATACCTGGCCGTGTGCTCCCCCACGGAAAGTCTTGCTTAGCTTTTTTATTTATTTTACTTTGCGGGAAATGCACCTGGCAAGATTTAGTAAATAATTAGTCTGTAAAAAAATACATGAGCAGTGATAAGAAAAGGTATATCCCCATTGTATTATTTTCCATATTTCTATTTTTTGCTCTAAAACAAGGAAAAAAACCCCAAAAACCCCAAATATAAAACAAAACACTGGGTTTTTTTGGGTAATCAGGACAGTATATTTTACATTGACCTTTATTTTAAAAAATAGGTGAAGCATGTCATCAGAAGTTAAATTAAAATATAGCTGAATCTGGAAGTAAAAATTTATTTCACTACTTTTTTTTCAGAAGTAATGCACATACCAGGTTATGAAAATTGTTCATAAATTCATGCTATACTTTGCTCTTTTGCTCTTTTGTCAACAAGAAAAATAACTTTACAATGCCAAGCATCAATGCTCCTTTCTTAACACTTACTGAAATTTTTTCTCTTGACGTGACATTTTGACAAGTGATTTGCCTAAATTTGAAAATCAAAAAAAAAAAAAAAAAAAGAAAAGGTAGGAGAGAGTTTACCTTTCCATTTAAAGAGCTGAAGTTTTGTAGGCTTTTTTTTAGGTGAGATCTTCAGGAATAATTCTTTTGCCTGGTTACCAAATTGGAAAAAAAATCATCCATACACCTCCAAAGAAATGTCATGCCTTATCATTCCTTCATTTATCCACGTTCATTTAAAAATCTGTAAGCGAACACATACACACTTTGGCCCTGGTCCAATCAGAACATAATTACATATGTAATGCATACATAATTACATCTTTATTCAAAGTACCTACATGGCTTCAGCACAAGTACCTACATGGCTTTAGTACATAATTAGATCCTCTTGGCATTAAAATCTTAAAATAGATGTGGAAAAAGAAGTGCCTCCAGTATATTTTTTTAAAAGCTGAATAGTATTTAGGATAAAAAGCTGAATAGATTTTAGGATAACAATGCTTCCCATTGTTATCCTAAAAATCAAAACACTCCCTGCAAACAGAAAATGGACACTTCATAAGAGAATTCATTTTCAGGCCAGCTGATGAACCTGTGACAATTTGTCATGGCACTAATTTAATTCCTATTAAGCCAAAAAGACAGAGCCTGAGCCCATGATGTTATTTGGCAGAGGTTTCTGCACTAAAGGAACAGCTGTTCTTGTAAAGGTTTCTGTCCCTCTGGAGTCCCACTTTAAGCAGTGCCTTCATGTAATGTAGGGAAAGAGGATTAAAAAAACCAAACAACCCAACTCAATCCAAGAGCTTTTATTAATAGGTGAACTTGGTACCTCTGAAAGATCTTTTGTCACAGTGTAGAGATCAGCCATTTTTAACTGGCTACCATTAGCCCCATTTGGTAAATGGGACCAAATAATTAAAATGACATTGCCAAAACAAATCACCCAAAAAAAATCAAATTTTTCATCAAATTGCTGACACATACAGAAGCAAACTACTGGAATGGATGAGGACAGAAACATCAGGCGTTAACAATATATATAGAGAGAGGCACCTGTATCCTTCACAGTGTTTCAGCAGTGTTAGAGCAATGAACAAAATTCCACATGATCAGAAGCAATTGACCTGCTGTGTCAATGTATTCATTAGACCTGCAGTCCCTGGAAAAGCTTCTTCCCCAAAGCACTGGATTCAGCTGCTGCTTGCTGCTTCAGGGAATTGTAGCTGCCTATTTAATTTTTATCAATCAGCAATTAATTAGCAGTTTCTTACAGAAAACATCTGATAAACAAACATAAAATAAGCTCATACAGAATTCCCTAATGATGGCCTCCTCTTCAAAACACACTTGAAAAGAAAAGCTAGTATAAGATCTTTTAAAAAAAGGAAACCAAAGAAACACTCTTTAGTTTCAAGTTATTTATCCAGAGTGGAAGACGAACGGTCTTTGCGTATTTGCCAATTGTTGGTTTATACTTTGCAAATACAAGGACCTACAAAAAGACAAAGAGAGCACTTAGAACTGCCTACGTTCCTCCTTGCATAGGTTTATAAAAACCTTTTCAAACCTCAGGGCTAGAGGTAGAGCAGAGGAAAATGGAGTAATTTAAGGGAAGACTAAAAGGAACTTTTGTGTGAACTTCCTTAATGGCTACTTGAAAGATAAATGTAAAATTCTTATTAAGGTTATTTATTAATTGTGTCTCCTTCAATTTCACCCCTAGGTGGGTCTTGCCTGAGTTTTAGCAGATATTAAGTTCTTTGAGATATAAGAAAAGTACAATACTACTGATTTATTGTCTCTCTCATCATCTCTCATACATGAATTGTAACCTACAACACTTTCTCACTTTGCCACAGAACACATCAGCAATAAGAAACATAAAGGTTGTATAAGAAAAGAGTGAAAAAAAGCTGTAAGTTTTATCTCTTCAAAGCAAAGTAGACTGTCCACAACCTCAACTGCATGCTCCTTGATTTGTGATGCAGTGATAAAGTTGTAGGGTGCCAAATTTGCTGGAAAGTTAAGAAAGAAATGTTGGGATGAGGCATGACGTTCTATAATAAAAAAAGTGTACCAACAAGGCAAGATGTAAAAACTGTGAGCCGTCCTCATCATTCTATTTTCTGAGCAAATATGGAATTTTTGGACAACTCTTTCTCCCTGTTGAAAACTCCCTTTTCAAGGAGAGAGGGATGAGGTGATCTAATTCAATCATACTTTTGCTGCTGTTGCCCAGCTGGAGCAAGAGATGGGATACAGCTCCAGCTCTCTATTGAGAAGAGGCAGGCTGGACTGCCACACTAGTGGCTTTGGGGCCAGATTTTGGAAAGCCTTTCAGAGGATGTTTCTTCTATGATATACGTGCATCATCCTGCAGGCTTTGTTTGCACAGAGCAGCCATTGCCCTTGTGGATGCAAACAAGTCTCTGCTGACATTAAAGTGTGCTCACGGCCTTGTGCAGACACAGCAGTTTCTTGATGATGTGAGCTTTTTTGTTTCTCCAGACACAACAGACTGTGAAGCTTAGCACATTGGGGAGATTTTCACCACTTTCTCTGTATGCACTTTTCCCCTCTTTGGCCAGCTGTTTGCCAGTATCTCTTCCTTCATCATCTGGACTTACAGTCATGCACAGGAAATAGGGCTCTAGAACATCCCTTTCAAGTATTGTGTGTTTGCTGGAGACTTCTATAGCCATCCCCAGAATTTGCTTCTCTATAAACACAGAAGTACAACATCTGCACAACTCAAGGGTGATGTTTGGGGACAGCCTGGTGCGCTGCAGGTGTGCTCTGGCCCAGCTGGGAGCAATCCCAGTGAAGAGCCAGGCTGCTGCTGGAGGCAGACAAAGCTCCTGGCAATCACAACCACTATCACTCAAAGTGAGAGAGCAGGATGCTGCCAGCCCTAGAGGAACATGGCATCTCTTATGTACATGTTAATGTTGCTGCAGTGCCCCTTGTACTGAAAGCTGGGTGTCCCAGCCTGGCATAGTGCTGGCCCGAAACTGGAAGACCTGACCAAATCACAACAACTAGAAATCTCACACAGCCAAGCCACTGGGCTTTATATCATGAATTGTAAGTCAGCTGCTGCTTTGAAGAATGGTTTTGGACTGTCATGTATGCCTGTATGTTTTATCAGCTTAGCCCAGTGTTACTGAATTTGTCATTTCTCCTTTTGGAAGGAAAGGCTGTTGAAAGGCAGCACAGCTGTTAGCGCTCTGGAGGATCTAGCCATGCCAATAGGGGAGTTTCAGAATAGGAGCTTTAAAATCCTCCTGTCACAGCAGAGCGAGGAATTATTTGATTTGCTCTGGTGGATGATCAGGCTGTACATACAAATTCATTATCTGCATTCCAGGTGTCTAGGGAGATTAGTAATTCACTCAAGTGTGTCTCTGGTGGCTGAAGAGTACATCTGAATGCCTTGCTGTGTCTCCCAACTTCACTGTTGGGAATGCGATCAGAAATATAAAGCACAACCTTCCAAATGATAGCAGCAGGAATTTGTCAGTCCTGGCTTGCATGATGTGATGTTGAAACCTTAAAACACACAAGTCTCAGGGTTCTATTCCACACCAGTGCCTGGAACAAGGTAGAAGGGGAATTTAAGGCATGTAAAAAATAGATTGTCATCCCAGACAGACACCACACAATTATGAAATTAATGCCTTGGATACCTCCCTAAGGTTCTCCAGTTTCCTAGACCTAGTCTCCAAAATGTCCCCAGTCATACCATCTAGCAGCCTACCCCTAAGTACAGCTAATGCCCCACCCTCTAAGATTCCTGTGGGATCAGATCTAGATCAGATCCAGAAGGTGTTGCCAGATTGCACCTCACATACAGCCATCAGATCAGGCTCCTCTGTAGTAATGTATTTGTTACAAGATAATGTGGCTGAGAGGCTACATATCGTTTGCCTTAAGGGGGGTTATGGAGATAATTTCCTCATAACGGTTTATACAAGAACCCGTCTGACTTTTTTTTTTTTTTTTTTTTTTTTTTTTTTTTTTTTTTTAATGTAGCTCTCTTGCTTCACTTCCTAATTTTTAATTTCCAGAATCCAGTCCCCTCTTTCATGTTCTCATGCTGGCCCAGTGGACCTTATGTTCTGAACTTCTGATGACCCCAGTGGAAAGGGAAGGACTACCAATAGACTATGGGATGGATGCTCTGCTCATATCCTGAGGCATCAGTCTTTCCCTGTGTATTTTACACAGTGTTTTTTCCAGGACTCTGTATTTCATCTACATCCTTCAATGAATCTTGCTTTTGTTTTTTTGTGTCCCTCTGCAAAAAACAACCCCAGCCATGAAATGCACTAAATGAAAAGGTGGATAAATATCACGATTTGAAAAGGTTGCCCTGTTAGCAAAATTTCACTCTATGAACAAAAAATGCCTGAACACAAAGTGATCTTCTTTCACTTTCTAGTAATGAGAAGTACAGATTACTTGGGGCTTTTGACAGCTCTCAAAACTGTATGGCAACAGTTCTGAGAACAGTGACCTCCTCTATCAAATGAGGATGAGCACTTCTCCACAGAGCTGATATTCATGTCAATATACATAAATCCTTTCCAGATTCAAGCTTTAATTCTACAACCTGTTCATCAGAAAGACAACATAGTCAATAACTGCCTCATACAGGAATACCTGGTGGCAGCTATATTGATAATCTCTCTTGGATTTGGAAAACCTGCTCCATGCAATGAGATGACATTGTAAAGAAATAAAAACAAACTCACTTATAAGTTTCTCTCACTTTCTTGTCTGAGAAAATGCTTCTTACATGCCTGGAACCTTTGATTTTACCTGGTAATTATACAAAGTTCTTAAAACATTGATAATTGACTGTTCTAATTAGAATTTCAGGGAAGAAGCTCCCCAGTTAAGAAGCCTTTGAATCAGATACTTTCCTTCCCAGCTCCATTCTTAGCATCCAAAGCAGTGACCATGCTACTATCACCACTTTGGTTATAGGGCTTAACTTGGATCACAGTAAAGCACTTGGATCCCAGCTCTCTCCCCTTGGGACCCTGCCCTGCTACAAGTTCTGCGTGAACTCATGCTTCAATCTCTACTGAGTCATGCTGAAATCATGATGGTGGCTGAGGACAAGAGATGACCAAGCTTCCTCATTTTGATATTTCATTAATAAAATTGTTGTTGGATGAATATAAATGAATTTTAATAGTCAGCAGTGATTATTAAAGGATAAGGGAGTATTTTTTTTTTTTCAACGGGGGCTAATAAAAATTTTCAGACTATTTTTTTTAGCAAAAAGGAAAAAACACAATATATAAGGATGTTTTTTCCACTTCAAAATGTGTCCAAAGGTTAACAGAAATATGAACATTTAAAAGACCAACTTCCTCTTCTTTTGGTTCCTTTGCAAGCAAAGCCTCAAATCTATACTAACAAAACTGGCTGTTTTAAGAAACCTCTTTGAAGACTAAGATACTGTCAATAATCTGTTCTCTACAATTGAATATCTGAATATCTATACACATATACATAACATGTTTTACTTGTCTTTTCCTAATTTAAACTGGAGCAATCAAAAACTTCCAAAGGTTCTCTCTTCACTGTATTTTAGGCTGAACAGTGCCCACTTATTATTAACTTTTTCCCATTTACAACTGTGTGTGAATCTCAGTTAAAATTTTCCTTATGGAAAAATCCTTTTATTTTTCATATTTTTCTATGACTTTGTGGAAATTAGTATTCTTCTTTCCAAGTTCCATCCGTGAAAGTAGCAGAAGAAATACATATTGTGCACTGCTCCCTTGGAAATCTAGATTTGTCTTTCCTTTTATTGAGGACATATTTTAGATTTCTTATGGTTTTTAGGAAAGTCAGTGCATCATCTTGTTTAATGGGCAGTTTTCGTAGAGCTCTTTTTTATTCCTATGCCATGATTTCTGACTGATACAACTGTACACATCTTCTGCTATTCAGGCCCCCTGAGAAGCTCTTTGTATTGATGTATTTTATAGGCCTATTATATTATATTAGCCTCCAGGCATTTGAAGTAATTAAAGGCAAAGGCTGCTGATGGAGTAACTCTTTTGGGGTGTAGTGACTGTGAGCAGCTTGGCAAAGACACTGCTGCACCTTTATCAGGTTCTAAACACTCACAGCCACAGAAATCACACTTCTCCTACTGTGGCAAAGCAAGGGACCATGTAAAAAAAAACTTATAAAGAGAATTGTGAAGGTTAAACCAGCAAGAAATGAGTCTATGTTTTCAAAAAAGAATGGATAAGGATAAGGATAAAGGGAATTTGAAACATGAAAGTGACCAATAAAATAAACTCCTGTATAAAAAAGAAATGAGCACCTAAATGGACCTATAAGTGAGCACTCATTCATTCTATACCATGAGATATTTGAACTCTGACATCCCTCAGCCATCTGAGGTCTTCTTTCTGAAAGATTTATCATAGCAAAACACTTTTCTGGAGGATGAAAAAGTTTTGGGTAATGATCACCACCAACAAAAAACTATTTACAGCAATGCAGAGCAATAACCTATTAATTATCTTGGGGCTTTTTTTGTTGTATGGGTTTTTTTGTTTGGTCTGTAATGTTTCCACTCTTACCCCCCTCCCCAAAAAGCTCTGGTTTGTCCATGAAGGACATTCTCAAGATATGGATAAACAGATGCAAAAACTAGCGCCGGTGGGATGCAAAGAAATTTATATATCCCTAAAAGCTCTGACACTCCTTAAATAATTTTTGATTAAAACTAGTCCTAAATTAGGCTTTTTCCCCTTCAAAATTTTGTCAAAAATGTGAAATCCAGCTATATGGCTTTGGCTTCATTAACCCTGCATGAGCTGCCCTGTTCTCTCCTCATCTGAACAGAGGTCAAGAAGGTGCAAATAGCTGCATATGATGGAGAATTATATTTAAAAAGCAGATTAGCCCTCAGAAAGCCTGTTAATAGCCTGTGTCCAGAAAATGTGATTAATTTCTTCTGATTGAACTTCATGTGCTAGATAATTAAACTTTTCATTAATGGGCTGTTGCAGAAGCAACAGCTTTGTATCTGTAACATGAATTTTTCGCTTTGAGTTCTCTTTATTAAGTGCACAAAGCATACCTAGTTTGTACACTGGCCTATCTGTGCAGAATTTAGGCATAAATATTTGAAAACTGATCCTGTATCCTGTTCAAGCCAGGAAATGGATTTTATATATTTATCTATATGCTGCTGAAAAGGATCAATTTGTTACAGCTGAGGAAAGAATCCTTCTGTCAGTAACTCTGTAAGGGCCAGCTACAATGGATTACTGCCAGCAGGCTTCAGTGTAAGGCCCAAATTGAGCATCCAATGCTTGTCGTGATTTGGATGAGTTTCTGACATGTAGGATGCAATAAATTGACTGGAGTCTTTCAACCACAGTACTTGTCAAAGTATTCTGTTTGCTTTTCTGCCAGTTTTATTACTAACAACCATTAAATTACCTGATTAAAAATAAAAACGGAAAAAGAAAAGCAATTTATTTTCTTTGCATGCATTTAAATGGAGAAGGGATTCTTCTTGCTTTGGTCCATGACTTTCTGTGTGGAGTAAAAAAGTTGTCATGCTTTTGCATTTTCCCAGTAATTTCCAGAACCTGATTATCATTTGGTGGTCAGAGACTCTAACCACCCTTATCAGCATCATTAAGAGTTGGTTGTCAGCTTTTGATAAATGGCAGCAATTTTTATGGTAAATTATAAAATGCCTTTGGTTGCCAAATCTAATAAAAGCTCAAAGGGAAAATTTTTTTTCTTCTAGCTGTAGGCAGCCAGCCATAACCATGTAAGATGATGAAGAAACAAAAATGATTTATTCTTTTCCAGTGAGCTCAATCTCAACTTCATCCTTGATAAACAAATCTTTACTTAGAAATATGACTTCTTGCCTTAAATGTGGATAGGACAGAAGGTGAACCAATTACTGAGTTTAACTTCTTAATTTAAAGTCATAGAACATGTAAGTGGGTTTTTTCAGATTTATCTTCCATATATTCAATCAAATTCTATACACTGGATATGAAGGTCATAACTTAAATAAAGCAAACAATGAGCTTTAAGAATATGATCAATAAAAATTCAGTGTTTGTATGGGTCTCAAAAAGACAATGGAACTAATATTAGGTAAGTTCTGCTAATAAAAATTTGTAGTGAGTTGTTGAATAATTTGGAATGGAAACATACTTACATGCTCCTAGATGTTTACTAATCCCTTTGTTTATTACATAACCCATAGATACGGTTATATAGTATCATGTGTCAAAATACATGGATGGGAAATCCCAGAGTGATCTCCCTGACAAGAGATGCTACAGTGAAAAGAAGATGACACTTGGAAAGGAGCTTTCAGCTCAGAAGAAGACATACAGACTTTCAGATGCTGAAGCTGGCACCAAAAGTCTTACAAGTTTGTCCTTGCTAGCAACCTTGTGCACAGATGATGATCTTGCTCAGGATCTTCTTTAATTTAAATAGAGATGAAATAGATTACAATGCAGATGGTGGAATCAGCAAAACTGCTAAAGCTGAATTAAGCCCTTGCAATAAAGTTTTCTACAGTATCTCTGGAAATATGTTAGTTTAAGCCTAGCTGAAAATTAAGCACCACACAGCAGCTCACTCAACCCTCCTCTCCCCAACCAACCTGATCCACTTGGGAGGAGAATCTAAATAAAACATATAGGTTGAGATTAAAACAGTTTAATAGGGAAAGGAAAAGCCACACACACAAGCAAAGAGAAACAAGGAATTAATTCAGTTCTTCCCATGGGCAGGTAGGTGCTCAGCCACGCCCAGGAGGGCAGGGCCCCATCACGTGTAAAGGTGGCTTGTGACAACAAACACCACTGCTCCAAAAGTCCCCCAAGTTCCTCCTTCTTCCCCCGCACTTAGTATGTATGACCATGATGCTCCATGGTCTGGAATATCCCTTTGGTCACTTGGAGTCACCTGTCCCGGCTGTGCCTCCTCCCAACCTCCCATTCACTCCTTGTCCCCTTGCCAACGTGGCAGAACAAAAAGCAGGAAAAGCCTTGACCCTGTATAAACTCCGCTCAGCAATAATAAAAACATCTCTGTTTTATCATCATGTGTCCAGCACAAATCCAAAACACAGCCCCATTCCAGCCACCATGAAGAAAGTAACCCTACCCCAGCCAAACCCAGCATGAAACGGCAAGCAGAGGTTTGAAACCTTGTCAAAATGGAACAATTCTCTCACTCCATTTGGGGAGTGAGATTCATTCTACAAAAAATATTATCTGAACCAATTAACTGTAAGAAAAGCATCTGACTCACTAGATGAAATCAGTCTCTGATCAGCTGTTTACAGTTTGCAAGCAGAAGCTGGCAGACATGCTTATCTGTAATTGCTTTTTTATTGAATATCGATATTGACTGTAATACGTATATACATCCCCATACCTCATTGAAATGAAGGCTTAGACTTCATGACTTACTTTAACAACATTGTAATCAGGAAGTGACTGAGAGGAAAACACAAGAGCACGACAAATTAGAACAAAAAACAAAAGACAATGAGCATTCAAATACTTCTTACAAGCAAAACAATATAGGATTGCCTTATGGACTAATTGTAACCCACAGACACACTCCAATTATAATGGGAACCTTCAGTTAACTTGCATTTTTTCCCTCTGCCATAGAAGTATGAGACTGGAACACCTGCTGAGCTATCAAAACCATCAATATGACATACTCCCTTATTATACAAAAGAGGAATGCTATTTGAAAGCTCCTTCCAGCCCAGTCTATCACTAAGCATTAAACCAGAACCAAGGCTCCATCATGCTAAAATAGAACTACAGCACAGAAAACCAGTATAAATCACAGCATCCTTTTCTGCATTTCACAAACATCCTCTTTGATTCAAAGGCATATAAGTATTCTTGCCTCTCTTAATTAGCATAAAGACTTATTGCAGAATAGAAACTTGAGACAGGGAGGAAAATAGGTAGGAAATAAAAAGACCATTCTGAAATATACAGTTCAGTAGTTTCCAGAATGTATTAGTATTTTCATTACTTTCCTGCTCCAATCTTCCATGAATCTCTAGACTATTTCTTTCAACACAGATGGCTATAAAAAATTCAGTCAGCACAATAAAGCATAACCTTCCATTCCCTGCTTTTTTTCTTGCTTTCCATGCCTTCCCTTGACACTTAGGGACCTACCATTGGAATACTGTTGAGGCAGCTATGGGTATAAAAGGCATTGTCTTGCTTTAAAGATAGGAAGTTCAGGCTGCCCACATTTTAACAACTTATTTCCCTGTGCCAGTTTGAATTAATTTATTAATCATGGGTCAGAACTAGGCGCTACATTTCTGTCATACCCATTTCCTCCTACAGGAGTTCTTCACAAGATCTTATTGCCAAGGGAGGCACTTGTGAGGCTGACAGCACCATTGCATTGCAATTTGGAGGAGTTACTGGAATGTGCCTTATCCTAATAATTTCAGTGACCTTACATTTATTTACCATGTCACTCAATTTATTTTAATTTTGCAAATTATAGTAGTGATTACACACAGGTACTCTATTATCAACATTTTTTAAGTTGGTATTTTTAAAAAGTCATAGTTTTTCTGTGGAAAAAAACAGATGTGCTAGAATAAAGAGAGGAATATTGTAGCAGTAAATGCTGTATCTTTTAACACAGCCTGCACTTACACAATATATAAGCATATTCTGTATGTATATATGTATAAATTTATAAATATATATAATTGCACATGTGCAACTGCATGCCTGTTCCTTTTGAAAGCTGGTCTGTAGTTTGAGAATAAAATGCTCAAGAAGTGAATTATGTGGGTACTTTGTCCTTTGCTATGGAATTCAGGATTTAAAATGGTTTTGAAAATCTAGAGGAAAATGTGAATAGAATCCATCCCAACCGGTTCTCTGAGTAAAAAACTTCAGTTACATATAGTGAAACAGGTACAAATGCAACCAGAGTCAGAGAATCTAATCTAATGTTGAATCTAATTCAATATAGAAAGTCTTTGTTGTGCTATCTTGCTATACCTAACTTTTGTTTCTTGTTCTATCTCCTAAATGGTAACAATCTCTTTTAAAAATTACAGGAGCAGGGTGGAATAGCATGGGACAGCTGCTGTGTTGTATCAGACCCTGTTTTGGAGCATTTTTAACAGCTCATATAATGTTTCTCACAGAAATTGCCACTGCTGCTCTAACATCTACTTGATGTTTCACAGAGTATCTTGATTATACAAGTATAGTCTAAGCACACTTATATTTGTGGGTCTGATTTCCATGTGTCTAATCACAGTCTATACTCCTTGCATTCTTGATTGGCAATCAACTTTGTTAAAGCAAAATTTAAGAAATTACAGGAAGTCTAGTTGTTGGATCAAGGAGAAGAGATACAAACCCACTGTGAATACCTGATGAATGGAAGAGCCTGTGGGACAAGACAGATGTGAAGAAATAATTCACTCTCCACAGGGAGTAATGAAGAGGAAAGTAATTCTGAGGCCCAAAACAAGATCAAGAAACAGAAAGGAGAATATTTTTGAAGACATCAATGTGGAAGTTAAAATATCCATGGTTCATTATATTTGGAGCATAATGTTCTTTGAAAGGTAGAACAAAAACTTTGGTTAAGTCGTCTAATTACTGCAGAATATTTGAAGTCAGAGCCTTACATTAGTCTGTAGCCCTTAACACAGCTCATCTCATGTCTGAGCAGCAGTAATTGTGGTAGATAATAACAACAACAATGCTGTACATAATAGCAATCTAAGGGCAAGTAGTGCTGCGCTGAAGAGTGGCTAAGAGCCAATGAATGTCTCTTTTTGAAGACAGCAAACACTCTGGCAAATAAAATGTCAATGTTTTATTAGGAGCAACATGCTCCTATTAGGATCAGGATAAGCTGTGATGAAAAATACCAATTTTGAAAGGATCCCACAGCCTTGCCATTAAATATGTATTTCATTTTAACTGGAGGAAAAGAAAATCAAATTACTCATCACCCCACTGAAAGACAGGCAGCAAATTCATCCATATTAAAACCACCCCAAGTATGTCTGTGACTTTTAAAATGAGCACACATTGCTCCAAAAGCACTGTAGGTGGATTGATAATGCAGGCAGATACCATCAATCCACCCTGCAGCCCCCCAGGTCCAGGTTCCCTTCAGCAGCAGAATAGAAACCTGCCAGAGGAAATTCTGAGCTCCAGGGCATAAAAAGGCTTTCAGTTCTCAGATATCAGTGTCAGCTTTCAGTATCTGAAGACCATTTCCATAGAAATGCAGCCTAAAGCTGAAAAAGAGACACTGTGGCATCCCGTTCCAGCTGGTTTGCATGAAATTTCCCTATGACAATGCTAGTGGTCACCATGGATTTTAGATCTGTTGGGAGAGCAAATCTGAACCAAACCATAGGGAATCTTTACATAGTTGTTTTTAAAAAATGCATTGCAAAGTGCCATTTTTCTGTGTGTATCAGCCAGTGAGTCACAGCCTTTATTTTCACCTCATTTTATTGATTTTTCCAAAGATAGACCAGAGAAAATTGAAATAATGTGAAAATTGCTCCACAGTATCTTTCATATTAAAACAAAGCAAATACCTCTGAGATATAAAAGTCATTGAAAATTAATCCACCAACAGGTAAGGAACAAACTGGTAATAAAATATTTGTTCATTTGTTCTTAGTTAATGCATACATAAACTTGTGAGTCAACAAAATAAAATAACAAAGTCCCCTGACCCTTGAAATAAAATCCTTTCTCCTCTACAATAAATGTTCAGGCATTTGCATGTCATTAAATGAGTAGTTTAGAAAATTGCAAAGAGAACTGGCAGGAAGAAAAAATGCAGTTCAGATATGGCTGTACCTCAGCAGCAGAATACCACGCAGTCCACTTCCAGCTAAAACTGTATAATAGGATATCTGAGAAAATACATTAGAGAATTGTAGAATGGTTTGTGTTGGAAGGGACCTTAAAGATCATCTAGTTCTAACCCCCCCTGACATAAGCAGGGACACCTACAACCACATCAAGTTCCTCAAAGCCCATCTAGCCTGGACTTGAACATTTCCAGAGATGGGGCATCCATAACTTTTCTGGACAGCTCTTCCAGCGCCTCATCACAGTAAGGAATATCCAACACAGTAATTGTTATCTGAAGACATGGTAGCAAAAAAAGCTGCTAAGTAAAAAGAGTCAAATCCCTGTTTGAACCAGTTTAAGGCTGATAATATTTTTAATTTCTCTAATTTGAAATTTATTCATTTATGATCAATGTCACTGTTTGCATTAAGGAGCAAGATGAGTCCCTTAATTGACAGAAGTTTGTCAAGGGAATAAGCAGAGGGCAGTTGCCCTGAAAAAATGTGTTCTTTGTAATTTAAACAGAAGCTTGAGAAATCAAGCTTTTTTTTTTACCATTGTATTTGATGAGACTGTTCAGATTTACAGCTCTTTGATGATCTGCCTCTGAAAGCCAAAAGCAAATAATTGAATATTGAAAAATGGAAGAATGCAAGTAAATATTACAGAGTCTTGCAACACAGCCCTATCCCTTTCAATGATAAAATCTATTGATAAAATGTGGCCAGATCTGCAGAAACAGAACCTGCACATGGTCCTTAGATCAATGCCATCAAACCTGCACACAGTTAGTAGGGTCAGCTGGCAGCAGGATGCTTGCACAAGAAAGAAAGGAGAGAATTGGCACACCATAACAGCCTGTTACAAATGGAAGCTGAAAATGGTTATTTTAAATTAATGTAACATAAGAAAAAAGACATTTCAAATACATGCCTTTTTGTTGGCTCACCTGCTTTTCCCTCATCAAACTGATCACACAATGACATGAGCAGCATGGTGCCATCATGGCACAGGGTTTCCTAACAAAATGAAACAAAGAGAAGATAAGTTGAACATAAATATTTTGGTTGTTTCTTTCTAAATAAAGTGAGAAAGCCTTTATTTGAGGAGCGGCATCTGTATTTAACTAGCATTTTAATGAGATTTTAAAGCTGCCAAGGTAATGTTGTCAGACATGTCAAAGTTAATTGAAAGCACATACCCTACAAAGTTGTTCTGAAGGCAAAAAGTCATTATTCTAGTGTTCCTTCTAAAAGTGGTGATCTGCTTCCTGGCCTGTGCTGTGAGTGGAAATCCATACTAGAATCTGCAGACTAGTTTGCTTGCTTGGAAAACCACATTTGAATTAGTACACTGGATAAGTGGCAACATGTGTGCATTGATGTGTTTGATAAGGCAGATTCTCAGTGTTTATGATTAGAGATACAAGTGGGAGTAAGGCAGCCTTTGTAAACTGTATTTTATATTAGACTAAATAATACCATTGGAAAAAGAAGAATGCTTTTCCGTGTTTAAAGAAAATCATGTATTATAGAATAAACACTTTTTGAGCAAAGCACAATTTATTCTGAGTTGAAGAGATCATGTTAATCAAATTTAGGCAGCTTGAAAGAAGGATACCTAGCATTTGGGTACATGGAGTAGATATGATTTGCATCTCACAGAAAAAGGCCCATATGCATAATTCTATTATGATACTTTTCATTAAAGTACATCATAACAATACTTACTATATCCCAAGAGAATAAACCCATTGAATAAGATTGTATGATCTCACTTACCTGAATTCTATGAAGTCAACTTTAGAGCAAGGTATAAAGTGAGATTCCCATCCTCATCCAACATTTTAATTTTGAGGCAACATGCACAAGCTACTGGTATAAAAGTAATTAGAGGGTAGAGTTTCATTGAGTTATATGAAAGTAGAACTCTCAACTACTAACAAGGTTACGTCCTTTTATTTTTTTTAACTTTAATGAATTCTGAAAACAATTGCAAAACAGAATTACTTAATGTATCATTGCTGCTGCAGGAACGTGAGGGTTGTATAAATTTGTGACAGATTAAAAAAACCTATATTGCAAAAGCTGTTCTGCAAGTTATCAAATCCCTTTCTGACCTGCTCTGTGTACTTAATAAATTCAGCTCGACAGGAAGACTCACATCCTTTTAAAGTGTATCCTACTCCATACATTTCCAACGGCCCAGAAAAGAACAATTTGTGACATGTTTATTACAAATTTTGAATACCTAATATCCTAAACAATTACAGACTTGCTTAACTCATCTGGCTGAATACAAGAAGATGAAGGTCTGGATCTTAATCCAGACAGGCAGAATTCAGTGCCACAACTGATTGATTCTCAGATGTCACTCTCAAAGGTATTTGTGTCACAGGTGTTAGAAAAACTACAGATAAGGATGCTTAGAGAAATACCAGTAAAAACAGTAGTAACAACAATGAAATTTAAGGCAACATTATGTTCACTGTATTTCTGCTTTAAAAGATTTCTCCTTCAAAGCATTTCTCCTTGAGTGTTCCAGGGTTAAAATATCAAAAATATACCACCCGTTGTCTACAAGCAGTGGTAGCAACAGATCCCAGCTCCTACTGACTCCATGTCCTGCACCACCTGTGCCTCTCCACCCACACAAAATATCACTGAAGCTTTTCTGTATCCTGCCTCCCAGGGTGCCTTCACATCCATCAAATGCTCCACACCTGCTGGGATGAGTAAGGGCAACATAGTTAGGACTAGTTCAAAGCTAGAACTACTAAATGATCTGTTGCTCCCCTTAAGGATTTATATTTGACAGAACTAAATAATTTTCTTTGGTGGTATGATGCATTTGGATCTTGCCTGTTTATCCAGTCACTGGTCCTCATCATAGTTTTTGGAACTGAACTGTCAACTTTGGCTGAAATTAACTAATTACTTTCAATACTACAAAAGGTAGAGAAATGGGCTAATGAATTTAGAAACAGAATCTTCTTATCTTAGGGAACTAAGCAGAGAAATTATACAAAATATTCTCGGGCACCTTCATACTTCCCTTTACAATTCACTTCTTCTGACTTAACTGCAGCTCACCATCATCAGCGCAGAAAACACAGAAATGCTGGAAGCATTCTTTGCCATCCTTCTGACTGGCTCAGGCATCAACAGTTTTCACACCTTCATCCCGCACAAAACATTTACCTTACAAAGTAATTTTTGATTGCTAGACCAAGGACAGAGGCTGAGGGCCAGATAGCATCAGCCCTCATTATACAATGCTGATATTGCAATGCGCTGACCGAATATCTAAGACATTTTGAATCCCAAAGTTGACTGAGAGCCAAACTCTTTTTGTGTTCGAGGTTCAGATGTCTTACTGGCACAGAAAAGATAGGCCCTGGCCTCTCTGAGTACCCTGTAATGGAGATAATGAAGACAGAACATCAGCTGGAGGTAAAATTTCCGAAGAAAAAGAAAATTTGGTGATATCTAGAGATTTGTATAGAAGATGTTTTTCTTAGTATTTTCTTGATTATGCTATTTTTTTTCTATTTACTTGAGATAGTAGCATGTCCTGAACATAAAAAAATAAGTGATAAAAGGGGTTTGATGACAGTATTTTGAAGGACAGAATGGAAATTCTAATAGCAGAGGGCTCATTAGAGAACAGTAGCATGGAGAAAGGCTCAGAAGTACTTGTGGGAAAAGGAAGGGTGACATGTGAAAGGAAATTATAATAAATAAACTGAAGGTGGCTGAAAGTACCTAGATAGGACTAGGGCCATGAAAAGGTCTCTAATCACAAAGGTATGTGCTCTGAATATCTCCTTTAGTATCACAAGCACCAATGAGTCAGACTATGTGCCTTGTGCTACTGGTGACAATAGCACATCACTACAAGATAAGTATTTAACTGCTTAACATCAAGTACAAATTCATATAATGCACTAAAGAGAATTCTTTTTGATTGGAGAAGGGGACTTTTGCTGCCAGAGCAGTTACATCTCTATAGACACACCTAAGCATTTTAGTGAGAAGCCAGTGGCTGTAGAAGTGTGACTCTGGGCCATGTTGTGCAATTCTTCAGCACCTTGCTACACCTCAAGTACTTCTTTTTCCTTATGGAATTACCATAAAGCTGAAATAAAAATCTTTTAGTTAAGCCTTTCAGTCTGCTGTTCAAGTTGAAGATTCTAAGAGGTGAATCAATGACAAGGCTGAGAAAAAAGTGAATGTATGCATCATCTTAAATCAGCTCTGAAAAAAAGACAATAAACCTAAATGAGCCTGTTTTGAAAGGGGCTTCACAGACCAGCAAACTTATGCAAAGAACACTGACTACATACACCCCACTGAATCAGAGGGAGCCCTGTTTAACATTAACCAAGATCTTGTCAGGAGGCTCTTGTGGGCAACTTAGTTCATTGAAAATTAAGTCTGAAATGGGTCAGGACACAACTTCAATTTTATAAATTTATGGTGAAGAAGGAGAAGGAGGAGGAAATACTCTGGGCACCAGGGCAAAGATTCCCCTGCAGTCAGTGGTGAAGATCATGATGAAGCAGTGGTCCCCCCAGAGCCCAGCCCATGGAGGACCATGGTGGAGCAGAGATCCACCTGCAGCCAGTGGAGGACCCCACCATGGAGCAAGGGAATGCCCAAAGGAGATTGTGATCCCCTGGGAAACCCATGCTGGGGCAGGCTCCTGGCTGGACCTCTGAAACTGTGGAGATGGGACTCCATGCTGGAGAAAATTTGTTGGCAAGACTTGTGACCCTGTGGAAAGGACTGGAGGTGGAGCAGTCTATTTCTGAAGAACTGGAGCCCCTGGGAAGATCCCATGTTGGAGCAGGGGAAGATTGAGAGGAGGAAGCAGCATCAGAAACAATGTCATGGATTGACTCCAGCCTCCATTCCTCAGTCCACTGCACTGCTGAGAGGAGGAGGTAGGGGTGGGGAAAGGCAATTTTAATTTTTGGTTTTACTTTTTATTAAACTACTCTGATTTGATTGGTAATAAATTAAATTTATTTCTCCAAGTCAAATCTGTTTTGCCTGCGACCTTAATTGCTGAGTGATCTCTCCCTGCCCTTATCTCAACCCACGAGCCTTTTGTTGCATTGTCTCTCCTCTGTCCAGATGAAGCTGTGAATGATAGAGCAGCTTTGGTGTGCAGCTGGTGTCCAGACAGGCAATTCAGCAAATTCCTTTCACAAGATGTAAGAGAGCACTAATCTTCTAGGATGCTTGTTAGAGATAAGCACTTAAAATCCTGTGAAGAGGTGGGGGGTCTGTGATGTTTTGACTTGGATAATCACTGTCAAATCAATTTTTTTGAAAAATGCCATATATATTCTTATGAGAAATGAGATCCATGTTGAATTAACTTCAGTAACACACAAAAATAGTCAATGTAATTCCCAGTTTTGTCGTCAGTTTGGTTGTGTTGAGGGCTGAAATGCAAAACCTGCAGAAACATTACCTTCACAGCACTCCTGCATACTGTTCTCGACCTCTCCATACAAATGCACACATTTCCTACAGCAGCTCTAGAGCACCATTCTGCCACAAAGGGAGATGCCCTCAGCAAAGCCACATATGAGTCTCTGCAGCTTTTACAGACCACCACTCATAGAAATACCCTGAAGATAATTTAGGAGACATGAGGGAAGACGTGCACCACAGCCATATTCTCATTAAACACCTTATCTACTTTTTGTGAAACATAATAAATTACAGTCCAATGGTCACAAAGTCTTTGAGGCCAGCACAGACTAGTTTTCCTGTCACACCATGTCCTGGGTATAAACTAAGTGGAGAGGATTCTGTCTATACACAAAACCTGTTTTTTAGTTTTTCCTCTAAAGTATAGAAATGCTACCCTTGGAAGGGAATTTCTCACTGTTTGTAGAATAAATCTGATTTGTTGCCACTTCAAAAACTGTAATATTTATTTTCATTTAGTCTTTGTACATGTTTGAAAGATAGGTTGAATGTGTTCTTGTTCATGAAAACAATTGCAAGAAATATAAAATCTAGATAGGTAGCAGCCTTAGAAAAATATTTTAGCAGCAGATAAAAGTAAGATTCATACTTAGAGGTATCAATTCCTCATCTTGTTAGTGCTGTGCCAGCACTTTAGGATTACCCTGTGTGAACAGAGAACAATACACCTGTGAAGGGTGAACTTAACCTCAAACTCTTGCATGGCACACAGGATGCTTGAGTGGATCCAGCCGTGGACTAGGATAATACTCTAAATCCTGGGAGTGCCAGAGATGGATTTATTACGAAAAAACCCAATCAGCTATCTAATTTCTCTTAGGAACTGACAACTTGCTTCTGCCATTCTTAATATAAGTATTTTATTTGGTAGAACAATACTATTGAATTTAACATGCAACTGGAGAACTTGAAAAGATGAGTCTTGATCCTCTGTAAAAACAATGTCCATTCAGTAACTACAGACAAAAATCTTTTAGCCACAGTAACTAACAGTAGAAATTAAATGAGACTTGGAAGTAAAAAGAGATGACATACACACATCTGATGAACATATACTTCAGTGTTTACCGAAGATACACATTTCATATACTCACTTTCTGTACAACATTGTTTTCTGTTATGTTTTGTTTAAAAAGGCATTTCAACTTACATGCTGAATATGAGACTCTGGAGACCACTGAGCTGATGGTATGTACCTGTTATTGAGGGCAAAAGAACAAACTACATGTTCTAAATATAATTATATAAATAAAAGTAATTCTTATACAGAAAGAGGTTGATCTACATTACTTTTAAAACAAACATGAAAAAAAGTCAGCAAGAGGATAGGCAATGAAGTTAAAATTAGCTGGAAGTTTATGAAAGATTTGTTAGTACTCCTGTAAGAACAACAAAATTAGATGCTGGGATCTAATGCATCTAATGCAGTGAAAAAGCAAAAAAAAAAAAAAAAAAAGGAGGAAAAATCTGTACTTCTTAAGATTAAGATTCTACAGCTTTTTTTTTTTTTTTTTTTTTTTTTTTTTTTTTTTTTTTTTTCCGAAACGTGATTTTGGGGTTCTTCCTAAATGTCCAGATATAACAATCTTTGGGCAACACAATGGATTTTTGGCAATTAACTTCCTAGAATATCATAAATCAGGAATAATGTATTTCAAGTATATTTTACCTGTCTTATGAAAATAGAAATGGAGAACTACTTGAAGGAATGAATTAATTTCATATGTTCTTCAGGCATATCTATTTTAATCATTAGTTTTTTAAAGATTAACACTGGGACTGACAAAGGGGTTTGAAATTCATATCCCATTTCTAGCAAGGAATAGGCTGCTAACTCCTGCTTTAGATAATGTAATTCCATTATTTCCATATCCTTCCATATCCTAACTATTTCCATTTCCTTCAACCCAACTAGAAGAAATACAGTGTATTCTGTTTCACCATCTGGCTGATCGGCATTGTCACAGCACTGCAATTTAAAGTTTGCAAATATTTCAAGAAGCTGATTTAGTGCACTCACAATATACAGCTGCTTTGAGTTTTGTTTGGTTTTTTTTTTTTTCACTCCTGTAGGAAGCACTGCAATAGATTTTCTGGGCAGACAGTAGATTCTCCATAATAAGAAAACTTTAAAAACAGACCAGATGAATACAACAGAATCATAGAATTTTTCACAGGAAGTGTAGTTTAGATCAAGTTTTGCAGGATCCTGACTAATAGATATGCCAGTTGGAGGAAAGTAAAGTTTCATCTTCTCTGTAATACACTTTTAGGCAGTTGGAGAAAAATATCAGGACCCTCTCTAGTCTTCTCTTCTCCAGGCTGAGCAAAAGCAGCTCTCTCAGCACTCCATCTCCAGCCCACTGTAGAGATTTGCTGCTGGAGTCTCAAAATTGTCGTTCCTTCTCTGGTAAGTCTCACCTTGCAAGAGACAGATCTGGACACAGCACTCCCAGTCTGGCCATGGAAGTGCCTTCCAGGAATGTGCCTATTCCTTGGCCTGCTGGTTGTGTTCATTGCTTGCAAGGACACACTGCTGACTGGTACTCAACTTGCTGCCCACCCAGGCCTGGTCCACATCTGCCCAGTTTGCACCCAGCTCCATTATTCTGTCTAGTATGGAATTTTTCACATACACTCATTTTTTAAGTGTATATGCTATAGAATAGTCTTTATATAATATTTATATTTAGATATATATTCATGATCTGATTTGGAACAAATAATTTTTTTCTGGAGCCTTTTTTTACTTTAATATCTTAACATTCCTGCTTTACTCTTTGGTGTAATACTGAACACAAAAGCAGGTAATCTCTCCTGCTTTGTATATAGAAGTAGGTGAACTTTTTATAGCCTTACTGAATAAAATATTTTCACCTGGTTTTACCCTGAACTTGAAAGCTGTTTTGCTTTACAGTAGAATAAGAAAAAGTATTTATTATATCCATGGACCTGAGCATCTTTATATTTTAAATTTTATCAACCAGTCCTTGAAAATCACTTTTTCTGTTAACAGATCCACAATTTAACATGCACTTCATAACAGTTCACAGACCTTTGGAAGATCTCAGGGGTTTAAATGCAGTAATCAACAGTAAGTAGCAAAATGACCTGCTCTTACGCAAAGCAAAGCTGAGTCACTGTAAGGTTTTACCAGTGGCAGCTTTGTGTTGAAAGTCTTTACAGTCATCAGCTTTTCTAAATGGCGCTGGCAGATGATTTTTTTCTTATGTCTAACATGCAATGCATAATATTCAGAGCTGTTTTTAAAAGGTTAGCTAAGAAATGAGAATATTATTCAGAGTGTTTCTTCAGTGCCTTATTTTTTACTTATGCCATGGTTATGGAAAAGTCTCAAGGGCAGATACTCACACCAGCTCCAAAGATAGAATTTTACAGCTTTGGCACATATTTTTCAATTTAGAAGAACTGAAAATTCAATTTACAAGAATTTTCTCTTTAGAGTCAACTCCTGAAGTATGGAGGACAATGAAGGAGAAGCCCTTAGAGACATTTCCAAGGGCACTAGGGGGCTCATGCCATTGCTGAAGTATCTAATTACTTCATATATTCATCCCTCTAGAGCTGGTAGGTAGGCACAAGTTTATCAAGGGAAAGAAAGGGAGCAAGAGAAGAAGGGTCAAGCAGCTCAAGGTCTATCTTCCCATCTCCATTGGAACTGTCAAAATTAATTAATTTCTCACTCAAGAGGCAAAGTTTTAACAGGAGAATCTGAAATGTTGTTTTATCAAGTGTATCCTTACTCAGACGAGCGCTTGAGAAAGTTGGCAGAGTTACCTTCTTTCCTGTCCTATCATCCCCAGGGCTGTGAAAGCTTCACATAATATTTGGCATTCTGGACTGGTGGGTCAGAATGATACCTGTGCTACTAGGTGCCTAATTCTACAACTGACAATACCTTTTCACCTCCACACAGCTACATTATGGGATGCCAATATTGTGCTAGGATGCGTTTTCCACTCTGAAGGAGCATGATGATGATCAACCAGTTTGGCTGTCAGCTCAAACCTGTCTCTGATTATTTTCTGCAGCAGATCACCAAAAAATAGGACTGAAAAGAATCTGTAGAGAAGCCAGACAGTTTATCTCTACCTAATCCATGATGGCAGCTGGCAAATAGCTGCAATCTGTGGTGGAAGTACACCATTACACCCCTCCATATCAGCTGAACCAGGGATTTCGTGCAAGAAATTTTTATTTCTAGGCTTTGTGGCCTACACCTTGTTTTACTTTGCCTGGAAAACAGAGTAGGGAATGGGAAGGAGATGATTAAGAATGGGAAGGGGATGGTTATTTGGCCTGAGATGACTGGGCACAGCAAGGACTTATCTAGTCATAGGAGACTAGACTATACAAACTATTTTGGACTCCATGGGGTCCTCTTCAGATCTTCCAGGGAGAAAGATATGACACCTTACAGATAATGCATTCCTCTCCTTCATCCTCCTTACCACCAGAAAAACCTTGCTGATATGAATCCCTAAATCTTGGTTACTTACAGTTAATACCATGACATCTGACTTCTTACCTGCAGCAACTAAGAAATCAGCATCTGCTTTCCTTTTTAATGATCCCTTAGATCTTCTCTTGGTATTTTCAGACTGAGCTGATTATCTTACATCTTCTTGGACCACACTTGTTTGGCAGCTGATCACTCTCATAGCTTATTGTCTTTTTTATCTAGCTGCTGCTTCATTCTTGAATACAGTTCTCCAGAAAGAAGCATCTTTCTTATTTAAAGCAAGAGCCACAGTCCTCATTGCTCCCCATCCAGGCCTGAAATTTGAAAGCTAAATGAATATGGAAAAATGAGAATTCATTACTACAGTAACCTCATAGTTACAGTTATTTGGCAGAAAGGTTTGAATCCGTTTCTTTCTTAAAGACATTTTCCCTAAGTTAAATCAAGTAATTATGGATTTTAGGGGTCATTCAAAAGTTTAAAGTGCCCACCCAAATCCATTCACCAAGAAAAAAACTCTACTTTAAAACATGGTTAACTAACAACCAAAATTTGAAACCACAAAATCTTTTGACTTATTTGCACTAGACCAAAATGGCTATGGCCACATGCCTCTTAATACTTTAATGAAAAATTTTTAAAATCTAGGAAATTCCTAGCCCCAAAATTACTTCTGAAACAAATTTCAAATGTCATTCTTTAAGACATCCAATATATACATTTTAAAAATAGTATTATATTAGTTTAAAGATTTATTATATGAATTATGCAGATTTTCTAGTGATTTGGGAATGAATTTTCTTCATAGCACATTGTACCCTGTGAAAAACTCTAATGTCTCAAAATTTCTGATTATTTTCTACTGAAACAGGATAGATATGTATAAAAAGCATTTTCCCGCTCCCCACACAATAATTTGTTAACCAAATCTGTCTCTAGCCCAGGTCTCTAGATATGAAATATTAGTTGGGGTACAACAGCATTGCTGACTGTATGTTTGAGATACTGCATGTTCTATGTTCCATGTTCCTGTTTTCCTTCAATTTTTCAAAAAAACCTGTGAAGATTGCTCTCCTAGCTTTCTGCCCTTTAAATTTAGTCTCCCTTTTTTTTTTTTTAATTTATTTAATGATTTATTTATTTACTATTGCCTGAATGCCTCAGGGTCTCCTTTGTTTAAATTAGGCTGGCCATTTTAATCTTTTACATTTGGTGTTTAAAATGTGAGAGTGAGCAGAAATCCTCCATTCCCAGGGACAAGGGGCATGAGAAATATTTGCTGCTGCCAGGCTGCTGGCTGTGAGCCAGCACCCACTTCCTTTGCTCAGGACAGGACCAAAAGCATCCTGCTGGTGTGAGAGGAAGCAATCCAAACCAAGCAGCTCCACAGCACCTGCAGGAAGCACCTGATTGCCTCTGTCCTGTGTGTGAGAGCAGCATCTCCTGCTGAGTTCCTGCTGGCATTCTGAATGCAGCCGTGTTCTTCTCCCACAGAGGGTGAAAATAGGTCTAAATTCACATTGAAATGGGTGGTATGATACGCCACCCTGCTCTGCTTCAGTCTGCTCCTGTATCATGCTAACAGGAAAGTGTTTACTGGACTGATTCCATGAGTGAATCTGTCTTATCACTGATGCAAATTAGACAAAAACACTTGGAAGTCACACCTAAGTGAAACAACAATATGAAGCAGGATGAGTAACCCCTACCAAATAACTCCTGAATTCCATTTGCAAAAGCTGGGACAGTCAGCCAGCCATCAGCCCCAAGGAAGAAAGTATGGCAGAGATGCTTTTCCAGCTGACACTTTCTGAGATGCTACAAGTAGTGGAGCAAGAGCATTATCATTTTTGTGGGGATTCCATTTTTCTGCTGACAAGTACCGCAAAGATATTTTAATGCCACTCAGTTTTGCATACACTTTGTTGGGAAATGTTTTCATGGAGTACACTAATTAAATGCTCATTTATAGTCACCAGATTTTATTATGACATAAACTGTCTGCATTTCCCAGTATTTTTCCTCAAAATAGCAACAAATCTTTCTGCCTGAGCTGTGCTGCGGTCAGTTCACAGGGTACAGTAATGCTAAGTAGCAACAAGAAATAATTGTATTTGTGAACCACAAAACACAAATGTTACACAGCTAATTTTGAGGGGAAGGGCATGATGGGATGGCCAGAGGGAGAGAGGCCACATGCTGAAGGCAGCTGACAGAGGTGACAAATGCATTCCTTTGGGCTTTCAAAAGTAAGAAGAGTTGGGAGACCTCTAGAGGCAAATACAGGCTGGCTGAAGCATTTCCTGGGCTCTCGTTCATTTGGCTGTGCTCTCCCTATGGTTTCCATACTAACTGCCCATGACAGGACACACTGAGTAGTTGTGGGTCAGCAATCACAAATCATCTTCATGTAGGAAAATAAAAACTTAAGTTGTGAAAAAAATAATCTTCTCTTACTTAATTCTTAACTTTCCCAAGAGCTCCTCTTACTCATTGGTAGTATGCTGTTTCTATCTATCTATCTATCTATCTATCTATCTATCTATCTATCTATCTATCTATCTATCTATCTATCTATCTATCTCAATTAGCTCCAAAGGAGAGTAGGGGAGAAAAAAGTGCAGGAAGACAATTAAATTCAAATACAATGACAAAGAGATTCTAGAGACATATTTGGTAAAAAAAAAAAAAAAAAAAAAAAAAAAAAGAAAGGTGATGGGTTTTCAACCTATGAGTGCCAAATTGGAAGAAAATAAACTCTTATTTTAAAGGCACACCAAAATCTACCACAGAATACCAGAAGTAGAATCAGAAAAGGACTTTTAATCTTCCGGAACACAACTCATGCAAGTTCCCTTCTATCACATCCAGATTAGGACATGAAAGCAGATGAGAAGATAAACAGGGATCCATCATATTCACTCTCCTCAGCGTGAAACAGCCTTTAACTATCTTTCAGGAAAATACAGATGTCTGGGACAATTTCTAAACCTTTTTTGCCACATAGCTTAATGTGCTTTTGTAATGGAGAGAATTGTCTTGGCTTTTGCATGGCCTAAATGACTCTTGAGGAAATCAGTGTATCTAAACCTAGAAGTAAGTATTTAGCACAAGAGTTACATGAGATGAACTTTCCTGCATGATGGGGCCAATGCAGCATCCCACATCATCCTGTCTCTTAGAAACTACCACAAAAAAAGATTTTGATTTCATCTCAAAGTTATGTAGCAGAAAAAATGGTGACAAGTAGGAAGAGATTTCTCTCCTCCCCAGTCTTCCTTCTCAAAGTAGTATTTTGCTTGGATCTTCATCTAGTACTCATATTCCTCACAAATTATGAATTTTTCAACTTCAGTATAATTCTTTGTTACAACTATTTTTTTAGTTATCTAGATAACTAGACAGTACAACATGTGTGCAGTTAGAACACTCAGAAACTAGCTGGTAAGATATATTTCAGTCTCAAAAAAAAAAAAATCCAACCAATTTTGTCATCAGTTTCCTACAAACAGCATAATATACACAAAAGCATAGTAAAACTCTGCTCAGCACTTCTGCTTGTCTCTCTTCACTCTTCTCTACAGATACAAAAGAGCACTGGGAGCTGAGTTCTTGAGCAAATATTCAGTAGGGTACTTGGACCCAGTTTTACAGAAGTTATCTAGTAGTGATGCCAGTGAAAGCATCACTGTCAACTTCCACTGAGTTGAAAGTCTAACACCAGTTAGACATTTTTCATTTGCCTCATGAGGCTAATGCTATACATCCTTCTTGTAATAGCTGCTGATACAAAAGACAGTCTCCCAACCTGAATGTTGTAAACTCAGAGGAAAGAGTCCCTTCCAAGAGACTTCAGAGATGGTTCCACTAAACAAACCTTCACTATTTGGATTGCTTTATTTTCTGAACTAAATGCATTCTACAGTAAGAAAATTCATCTTGATATAATGGTTTTTCTCTGAGCACAAAGATCTCTAGCAGCTTAATAATAGCTGCAAAAAAGAAACAGACAACTAAACAAAATCTTTAGCCCTGTCTTTCAAATATTTTTGCATTCTCAACCTCATGCTGAAAAAAAAATCAAACCATATAGCAAAAAACCATCAATGAAAACATGTATCAAAAAGAGCAGATTCCTTCTCTATTTCACAGGAAAATGGTTTGTTAAATCTTAAACAGCTGAAAGAATATCTCATAAGCATTTCATACTAGAAAGTAAAATGAACTTGCATAAACAAGTTCAGCCCACTGGACATTATGTGCTTGTTATTAAATTATATATATGACACTGTGATGTGTGACTGAAGTTACTCTGAGAAGAAGAGCGTTATATCCTGACTTTCCTTGGAAGAGATTGGGAACACCTTTAAATGAATGTCCTAGATCTTTAACAAGAATTGTGTCATCTGAAATATACAACTCATATACACATGATCTCATGCACTTGCAGTAAATAGAATCGCTGCTAGAAGAATGAAACCCAAAAAGGTTTTAGTTTTGACTATGACTTAATATTTATGGAAAGAATATAAGTGTTAAACACTTTACCTATGTTTTAAAAGTTACTGACCCTCAGTCTCCAACTCATCTTCATGCTCATAGAGACATGTGGTTCCATGTCCCATCAAAATTCAAGAAATCACTATGGAAAACTCTCCTTGAAAACTGAGTTCAGTGATGTTACATTGAGAAAAATTATGCCAGCCTCACAAAAGATTAGGATTTGCCTAAGATTAACTTGCAGTCAAATTTGTCCCACCACACCTCTAATGATATCCTTAGAATTCACCCTTTTTAGAAATGGTGTATGGAAATAATAATTATTGAATTCACACCATGTGCTCAAACTGGGACCAGAAATTTTAAGCACATCTCTCTCAAATTATTTTCTGTGATTTACAGCCTTCTTTGAGTATTCAGATAACATTTAACTTGTTCTCACAGTTCAGAGGGGATCATTCCACTGGACAACAAATGGATCAATATCACTAAAGAATAAAGATGCAATTGTATACTTGTGTATGCTTGAGTAGTGTGGAAAGAGGTGAGAGTCCTGGATT